GTGACAATGGGGTCTTAATTTGCAGGGATTCATAGCGAGATCCCAAAATACTGAATCGGAAATATGTTCCCTGATGTTTCTCACACCAACCCGGCAAACCCTGCTTGAATGTTATTCTGCCATAATTAGACATAATGAATAAATAATCCTTACATCTGATACAGCTGCTTATCACTTCACAGACGTTAAATCATCTCATTGTCTAAGTGAAGAGTTTTGGCAACAAATCTGTCTGTCTGGTGTGTGGTGATATTGCAGTGCTCCAAGAGATTATCATGTGTGATATTTCAGAATCCTGTTAAAACTCCCACAAATTGGACTAATTGTTGAATTAAAAGAGCAAAGTTGGCAGGTTGAGTCTGACAAGTTGTCTGCTGATATTTGGGGGCATTAGTGTCACCTTCACGTACATCACAAGAAACAAATTACTCAAGAATAACTTTCATTTATAAGCGCCCTTCATGCAGGGTAGTGCCCGGAGCATTTGATAATGGCAGAGTCTGACATCGAGCCAGAGGGAGGGGGGAGGTGATCGTAAGCACGATCAAAAAGGAAGGTCTTTAGGCAGGATTTGAAAGTGAGGAGGGAGGGGGCAAGGAGGAGGCATTCAGAGAGGGAGAGTTTCGGGACCCAGTGGGTGAAAGCATGGCCACCAGTGGTGGAGCAGAGGGGACGTGGGACGAACAGGAGACTGGAGCCAGCTGAGCAGAGGCAGTGGGGGGTAAGCAGATCGGGTAGGGCGGGAGGTGATTGGAAAAACAAGTGAGAGGATCTTGAAATCGATCCGTTCGGTGATTGGGAGCCAGTGGAGCCTAGCGACAATTGGTGTGGTGGGAGTACAGAGTTTTAACTGTTTGTGGGACACTGCTGTGCACAATTGGCTGATGCGTTTTGGCCACAAAATATACAGTCAATTCACTTTACAGTATATTCTGTGAAGTGTTTTGACACATCTCGAAGACGTGATAAGACGCTATATCAAATGCAAGGATTATTATTATTGTTGAGCAGGTGAGTATCCGGGCGGTGCAGTTTTGGATTAATTGGATTTTGGACAATGTGACGGAGGTGGAAAAAAGCGATCCTGGTTAGGAAATGGATGTGGGGTAGAAAGGGAAGCTGGCATCGAACCTGATGCTTAAATTGCGCATGGGTTTGGAGAGTCTGCGGGAGAGCCCAGGGAGATGGATTGTGCTATTTTATGGAGTATAGTGCAACTATGTTCCCTGTCCTGCTTTCATATGAAGAATGGGCCCTTGTGTGAAGAATCAGTAGTTGGTATTACAGAAAGAAACATATAATAGTCTTTTTAATAGAAATAATGCTTGTCAACATATTCCACTTGTTTAGCTTTGCTTTTGACCATAGGCCTGGCAAAACCTTTCTATTTGAAAAGACGTACTGAGTTTCTCCCAGTATCCTGGCCAAGAATTCGCTCAGTAAAATCGGAAAATCACTTAATTGTAGGACATTGCTGTGTGCAAATTGGCTGCTGTGTTCACCCACAAAACACACAGTCACTCCACTTTACTCTATATGCTTTGAAGCACTTTGAGATGTCCTCCTAGAATTAAAGGTGCTATATCAAATATAAGGATAATTATTATTGGTATTATAGCTCGTTTTGAATATTACTCATATTGTGCTATTTGCAGTGGAAAGCAGTGACTGGGACGTCCTCATTGCACACTTTCTGGGAGTTGACCACTGTGGCCACAGATATGGACCTGATCATCCTGCAATGGCGGACAAGCTCAACCAGATGAATGAGATGCTGAGGTACGTTTGACATCAGAATTTGCAGTTAATGTTTGGAGGAGGAATTGTAATGCGTTTCATACAGGTTATTAAAAATTCACATTGGTACTTACTCTACAACACAAGAACAACAACAAGATTCCATTTATAAAGCGCCTTTCACGTCAGGAGGACGTCCCAAGGCGCTGCACAGTTGGGTCATGACCCGAGCAGGGGGGAAATGGTCAGGGTGAGGGGAGGGACGGGAGGGAGCGAGGAGGGGGAAATGGTCAGGGTGAGGGGAGGGAAGGGAGGGAGCGAGGAGGGGAAGAGATTCGAGAGGGGAGCTGAAGGCTCGGTCAAAGAGAAAGGTTTTGAGACCGGCCTTGAAGGAGGAAAGGGAGGAAGCAAGGCGAAGGCACTGGGGGATAGAGTTCCAGAGCCTGGGGCTGAGAGGCTGAAGGCCCGACCACCGATGGTAGGGTGGTTGGGGCGGGGGACGGAGGGTACGGGCAGTTAGGTAGGGGGATAGTAGGTTGGAGAGGTAGGAGGGAGCAAGGCCGTGAATGGCCTTGTAGGTGAGGATGAGGATCTTGAAATCAATCCTCTGGGGGATGGGGAGCCAGTGGAGGCGAGCGAGGGTGGGAGTGATGTGGTCCCGAAGCCTGGTGCGGGACAGTACACGAGCTGCAGAGTTCTGAATGACCTGCAGCTTGTGGAGGGAGGTGCCGGGAAGGCCGGCGAGGAGAGAGTTCCCATAGTCCAGCCTTGAGGTGACAAAGGCGTGGACCAGGGTTTCAGCAGCGTGAGGGGTGAGGTAGTGCCGTAGTCTGGCGATGTTCCGGAGGTGATGGAAGGCGGTGCCAGTTGTGGTGCGGATGTGAGGGAGAAAGGACAGCTCAGGGTCGAACAAAACGCCGAGGTTCCTGACTGGCTTTGAGAGGTGGAGAGTGCAGCCTTGGATGCTGATGGTGTCGGCGCCTGAGGTGCGGAGGCGCTGACGTGAGCCAATCAGGAGGGCCTCGGTTTTTCGCACGTTGAGCTGAAGAAAGTTGTCTCTCGTCCAGGACTCGATGTCGGACAGGCAGGCTGTCAGGACATCGGTGGTCGTGGAGTTGAGAGTAGAGGAGGAAAGGTAGAGTTGGGTGTCATCCGCATACATGTGGAAGTTAACTCCATGTCTGCGGATGATGTCACCGAGGGGGAGCATATAGAGGGTGAAGAGGAGGGGACCGAGGACAGAGCCCTGAGGGACACCACATGAGACAGTACGGGGGGTGGAGGAGAAGCCATTCGTCGAGACAAAGTGAAGACGGTGAGAAAGGTACGACCTAAACCACTCAAGGACAGTGCCTTGAAGGTTGAGGTGGGAGGACAAGCGGTGGAGTAGGATAGCGTGGTCGACCGTATCGAATGCTGCCGATAGGTCGAGGAGGACGAGGAGGCAGAGGGAGCCCTGGTCACAGATGGTCAGGATATCATTGGTGACCTTGACCAGGGCAGTTTCTGTGCTATGGGCAGCACGGAAACCTGACTGAAGGGGTTCGAAAAGTGAATGGGTGGAACACAAGTTTACTGCAGGAAGGTATCTTAAAGCACTTGACATTGCTCTCTTGAGACCCAAGCTAGGGTGTGAGCTGAGGCAAGTGAAGAAGAGAAAGATGACTGAAAACCACACTCAAAAAGGTACTTGTGAGATGGGCCTTGAACAAGGGGAGGGAGCGAGTCAGAGTGTCTTCGGGTTGGAGTGCCAGAGAGCCGAGGCAGAATGGCTGAAAGCCTGTCCGCTGAGGGTGGAGATGATAGTGTGGGGACATGAAGCGGACTAGTGTTTGATGAATTAGCGTGGTCAGTGTGGTTGAGGGAGATTGCAAAGTTAGGGTGGGGCAAGACTTTGAAGGTGATAATGAACACCTTGAACTCTTGATCTGCTAATGGATGGGGAGCCAGAGGATCCAAGCAAGGGTGGTGGTGATAAGCTCTCAGAGGTCTTAAAAGCCTGGTGTGGGGTCTTAAAAGCCTTTACTTTTACATTCAATCCACCTGTGTGTATAATCTGGTATCCCATCTGGGCTTTTAATGTTCCACTTTTTCCACTTGCAATCCCACTTGTACATTTATACTTGGTGCTTTCCTGGAAAGCAATTCTGTAACTATTCACTCGTCACTTAATCATCTCCACAGACGGTTTCTCCTCTAGCCCCTACACCGTCTCATGCAGCATTCCTCAGGGCTCCTCCTCTTTGCTATCTATATGCTCTCTCTTGGTGACATCATCCGCAAACACGGGGTCAATTTCCACATGTATACGGATCACACCCAACTCTATCTCTTTGCCTTCGCCCTTGACGTCAGGACCATTGCTGTCCTGACAGATTGTCCGTCAGACATCAAGTCCTGGATGAGAGGTAACTTTCTTCAATTAAATATCAACAAGACCGTCTCTACATCTCAGGCGCTGACAGCATCACCATCCACGGATGCACACTCCATCCTACTAAGCCAGTCCGGAACCTTGGTGTCTTGCTTGACTCTCAACTATCCTTTCTACCCCACATCCGTGCCATGATTCCATTCTGCCTTCCCTCACCTCTGCGACATCGCCTGGCTCCGACACTGTCTGCCGCAGGCCGCCGAAAACCTCATACACGCATTCATAACATCCGGTCTCGACTATGCAAACTCATTGCTTGTCGTCTTCCCTAACTCCTCCCTCCAAAGGCTGCAGATCATGCAGAACTCTGCACTCTCCCGCACCAGGCTCCACGACCCTACCACTCACATCCTCGCCCGACTCCACTGACTTCCCATCACACAGAGGATACAGTTCAAGATCCTGGTCCTCAGCTTCAAAGCCTTGCTCCCCTCTCCTCTGCGACCTAACCCCCACCAATCTGCCTGCACCCTCCGCTCAGCAGGCTCCGGCCTTCTTCACTTCCCCCACCTCACCCGCCCCACAATTGGCAGGCGAGCCTTCAGCCACTCTGCCCCCACCCTCTGGAACTCCATCCCATAGCCTCACCCTCTCTCTTGCCTCCTTCAAGACCCATCTCAAGACCCTCTACTTTGACTGTGCCTTCGATCACCCTCCTTCACCCCCTGGTCTCTACCCTCCCCAATCCCGACCCCCAGCTCGGGTCCAAAACACTGATTGTCCAGCGCCTTGGGATGTCCTCCCATTGTGAAAGGCGCTATACAAACGTAATTTTGTTGTTGTTGTTGTTAATGAACTTTATTGAATACCATAAAATACAAATTTACATTTCTGAAATGCCTTTCACTTCAGGAGGACCAGAGACCTCCCAAGTTTGAGGTTTCTGACTGTAAACATTTGGAGAAGCCTTGCCAGTGTAATGCTTCATTTAATCTAAAACAGTGTAAAAAAATGACAATGTTTTAAGTAAATGAAGGGAAATATATTGGAAAGATTGATTCTCCTCCAGTGTTTATCTTATGAATGAATGTCCAAAGATGAGAACATCACATATAATTAGGGTTTTCCTTGTGTGTACTATTTTGTGGACGTATTTGCAGTCGTCAATTCAGCTGTAAAATTCCTTTTTTTTTGCTGTAACAAGTCATTGTGTGTATCTTGGTCTTAGGTCAGTGATTGACCGGGTGCAAAATGATACACTGTTGGTGGTTCTGGGGGATCATGGGATGACGAGCACTGGCGATCATGGAGGTGAAAGTGAGGCGGAAGTCAATGCAGCATTATTTATTTACAGCCCACTGCCACTGTTCATGTCGGCGTTACCAAGGGTAGGTATTTCTCTAATGAATGTTTTACTTCATCTCATTCTCGTGCTGTATGGTTTCTGTAGCTTTGTCACATAACATGTATTCTTAATTTGTTCTTCGGATGCAACAACAATGCAAGTTGTTGTTAGGAATACTCTTTTCCTTCATTCAATTTCACTCTATGCAGTTATATGTGTAGAACTTTATAACAAAAGTAATAAAAGTTCTTTCAACGTAATTTCAGTCACTTGTGAACACGTGGATAAAACTTAGACACAGTAACTTGGTGTGTGTGTGGGCGGAGTAGAGGTTGAGGAGAGTCGGGGAGCGGCGGCAGGACAGCGCGGGGAGGAGCCTGGGCCTACTGACCCAGGTACTTAAACTCGACGCCGGAGCGAGTGCAGCTAGGGAGGGGAGGGAGGGTGGGGGCGGAGCGGGGAACTGCGACGTCATAGATTAGTTTTCAGGTGAGTGCGCGCGCACAAAAAAAAAAAAAAAAAAAAACCTCTGCGCCCCCCCCCCCCAGGGCTCACATCAGAGCCCACTATGGTCCTGTTGGGTTCGATGCCCCAATCTGCGGGATAATGCCATCCACCTGACCGCTCGCTCCCGGTCCCCGCGTGCGCACTATGGCTGCCGCTTTGACCCGAGCCCCCTCACCCCTCCCTCCCGCCCCCTCCTCTCTCCCCCCAAACCCTCCCCCCTCTCCATCTCTCCCGCTCTCTCCTCCTCTCTCTCCGTCCCTCTCGTCTTCTATCCCCACTTGACCCTCCCACAACCTCCCTCTGTTCCAGTCTGGAATCCTCCGCCGCACTCACCGCGGCACTCGGCGTTGGCTGTCCAGCAGCAGCCACACCGACTGCCCCATCCCCACACTCTCGCCAGCCACCCCGGGCACAGACCCGGGGAGTCAACCTCTCCTCCCTCATCCCCATCTCCCCCACCCCTGCCCTCACAACCTGGACCCCCCTCCCCTCCCACACACCCTTCTGTCAACCGCTCCCTCCACATCGGACTGCAAAATGTCCGCTCCCTCTGCAACAAGACCCTGGTCATCAACGATCTCATCCTTGATGAGAACGTTGATATCATGGCCTTGACAGAAACGTGGCTCACCCCAGGCGACACTTCCCCTCACGGAGGCCACGCCACCCGGCTACACCTCCCACCACATCCCCCGCCCCAACCGCCGTGGCGGTGGTGTTGCCCTTATCTCAAGGACACCACTTGCCCTATCCCCCTACTCCTCTGGCTCTTTCCCCTCCTTCGAGCACCTCACCCTCTCCCACCCCTCATTCCTCTCCCTTAAAATCCTCCTCCTCTACCGGCCCCCTAAAACCTCTCCCACCTTCATCTCTGACATTTCAACACTCCTCACATCTCTTTGCCTCTCCTCTGATCGCCTCATCATCCTGGGCGACTTTAACCTACACTTCACCCCCTCCTGCTCCATCTCCACAGACTTCTCTTCCCTGCTCTCCTCACTCAACCTTTCCCTACACATAAACTCCCCCACTCACAGTCACGGCCACCCACTCGATTTGGTGATCACCCGGGGCCTCAGTGTCTCGGATGTCACTATTACCGACAAGGCCATCTCCGACCACTACTTCATCTCCTTCACCACCTCCACCCCCCTCCCCACCTCCACCAGACCCACCACCATCTTCTACCGCCCTTGGAAGAAGTTACCCCCACAATCCCTAACCGATGCCTTGGAGTCCTCTGAACTCCTCTCCCTCTGGCCTTCAACCCTCACCGACCCCTCTTCTCCTCTCTCCCTCCTCCACAATATCCTCTCCTCCACACTCGATACTCTTGCCCCCATCACTTCCCGCACTGTCTCCTACTCCCGCTCCACCCACCTCCGCTCACTGAAATGCCAGGTGCGGGCTGCTGAGCGCACCTTTGTCAAATCCGGCTTAACGGTCCACCGACAAATCTGGCTGGACCTCCTCAAAATTTACCGCTCCACTCTAGCCTCGGCCAAGTCGTCCTTCTACTCCAGGATAATCCTGGAGGCGAAGAACAACCCCAGGCTACTGTTTTCCACCACATCCCGACTCCTCCGTCCCCCCGCCACCCCGCGCAGGTCATCTCCTCCAACCTTCACTGCGAGGAGATGCTGGATTTCCTTGAATCCAAGATCAAGGGAATCCGCTCCGCGGTCACTTCCCCTCCAACTTCCACCCACCACCCACCCCTTCCCTCCCACACTCCGACTCCTACCCATCCTCCCCTACACACCTTCGTACCCGTTTCCCCACCCTCTGTCACTGAACTCATCCTATCCCTAAAACCAACCACCTGCTCCCTTGACCCCATCCCCACTCCACTCCTTATCTCCCAGCTCCACTTTCTTGCCCCACACATCACTGACATCATAAACCTGTCCCTCTCCTCTGGCTCTGTCCCCATTCCATTAAAAACTGCCATCATCACGCCCACCCTGAAAAAACCCTCCCTTGATGCGTCGCAGCTATCAAGCTACCGGCCCATCTCCAACCTCCCCTTTCTCTCCAAGGTCTTGGAAAGAGTTGTCGCCTCCCAACTGCGCTCTTTCCTCTCCACCCATTCTCTTTTTGAACCCCTTCAGTCAGGTTTCCGTGCTGCTCATAGCACAGAAACTGCCCTGGTCAAGGTCACCAATGATATCCTGACCATCTGTGACCAGGGCTCCCTCTGTCTCCTCGTCCTCCTCGACCTATCGGCAGCATTCGATACGGTCGACCACGCTATCCTACTCCACCGCTTGTCCTCCCACCTCAACCTTCAAGGCACTGTCCTTGAATGGTTTAGCTCTTACCTTTCCCACCGTCTTCACTTCGTCTCAACGAATGGCTTCTCCTCCACCCCCCGTACTGTCTCATGTGGTGTCCCTCAGGGCTCTGTCCTCGGTCCCCTCCTCTTCACCCTCTATATGCTCCCCCTTGGTGACATCATCCGCAAACATGGGGTTAACTTCCACATGTATGCGGATGACACCCAACTCTACCTTTCCTCCTCTACTCTCAACTCCACGACCACCGATGTCCTGACAGCCTGCCTGTCCGACATCGAGTCCTGGACGAGAGACAACTTTCTTCAGCTCAACGTGCGAAAAACCGAGGCCCTCCTGATTGGCTCACGTCAGCGCCTCCGCACCTCAGGCGCTGACACCATCAGCATCCAAGGCTGCACTCTCCACCTCTCAAAGCCAGTCAGGAACCTCGGCGTTTTGTTCGACCCTGAGCTGTCCTTTCTCCCTCACATCCGCACCACAACTGGCACCGCCTTCCATCACCTCCGGAATATCGCCAGATTACGGCACTACCTCACCCCTCACGCTGCTGAAACCCTGGTTCACGCCTTTGTCACCTCAAGGCTGGACTATGGGAACTCTCTCCTCGCCGGCCTTCCCGGCACCTCCCTCCACAAGCTGCAGGTCATTCAGAACTCTGCAGCTCGTGTACTGTCCCGCACCAGGCTTCGGGACCACATCACTCCCACCCTCGCTCGCCTCCACTGGCTCCCCATCCCCCAGAGGATTGATTTCAAGATCCTCATCCTCACCTACAAGGCCATTCACGGCCTTGCTCCCTCCTACCTCTCCAACCTACTATCCCCCTACCTACCTGCCCGTACCCTCCGTTCCTCTGGCTCCGGTCTGCTCCACGTCCCCCGCCCCAACCGCCCTACTATCGGTGGTCGGGCCTTCAGCCTCTCAGCCCCGAGGCTCTGGAACTCCATCCCCCAGTGCCTTCGCCTTGCTTCCTCCCTTTCCTCCTTCAAGGCCGGTCTCAAAACCTTTCTCTTTGACCGTGCCTTCAGCTCCCCTCTCGACTCTCTTCCTCCTCCTCGCTCCCTCCCTTCCCTCCCCTCACCCTGACCATTTCCCCCTCCTCGCTCCCTCCCCTCCCCTGACCATTTCCCCCTCCTCTCTCCCTCCCTTCCCTCCCCTCACCCTGACCATTTCCCCCCTGCTCGGGTCATGACCCAACTGTGCAGCGCCTTGGGACGTCCTCCTGACGTGAAAGGCGCTCTATAAATGGAATCTTGTTGTTGTTGTTGTTGTTGTTGAGGCCAGTTGTAACATGCTGCCCAGGATGAATTTGCTAGTGTCCAGTCTGTGTGGCTTAGTGATGCACTTTATCCCCTAGTGAAAGGCGCTATACATTTGTATAGCGCCTTTCACGTCGGGAGGACGTCCCAAGGCACTGGACAGCATACAGCATTTCAGACCCGAGCTGGGGTCAGGGAGGGAGAAGGGCTTTTATAGCGCTGATTCAATTATGATACAGTTCTGTGTTGACCCAAATTGCCGCAGACGTGCAGTTTACGTTAAAATGGATGACTTCTGCCTTTGCTCAAGTACGTGCACAGGAAGTGACTTTGGCGAAGACCTCAATGATCTGGAAGTTGGCCATTTTAGCTTTCAGTGCGTTTTTTAAAAAAAAACTTGCATATAATTGATGATATCACTTCTTGCTTCAACCATGCCCAGCACACAGGAAATGATGTTGGTTGGGACCTGATGACCTGGAAGTTGGCTGTTTTTTTTGAATGGAGGTCAGCCAGCTGCTCATCTTGGCCTTATTATCACATGAGTTGGGATTTTATGGATTCCTCCCCCTCCCAACCTTTGCCAGATAATAAAGCTTCACTGTATTCACAAGAAGATTCAACCAATATAACTATGTTTGAGCATGTATTGGTTGACCTTTAGTTCTGATTATTGACTTCCAAACAATTTAAAAAAAGCAAACGTGTGTTGTGATGTTTCCCTGGGAGGAGAGCATTCTAAACATGTTATTTATGGGAGTGCTCCTGTTGTACAGTGGAATTACTTGCTGCATTTATCCAAGAATAGCACAAGTCAGCCTTTTCATCAGAAGCAAATAACTCGTTGACATGATCGCATTTCAAAGTGTAATGTATTTCAACATAGGATTAAATGTTATGCTACAAAAAGTTTCTATTTGGTTTTGTTGCAAATAATCACTTCCAAAGTTCATAGTTGATTCTAATATTTGCATTTGAAAAATCTTTTTAATGTAATTTAAGAATTAATTTTCTTTGTTTCTGTCCGCTGCTAAAATGTTGTGCAATCAGGACCCAGAAGTTGTCTCTCAGATCGACATGGTACCAACTCTGGCTCTTTTGCTTGGTGTTCCCATTCCATACAGTAATATTGGCATGGTGATGGCAGACATGTTTACTGCTGGAGCAATACCACATGGCATAAATCATCATAAACTGGCTAAAGCACTTCAAATTAATGCAATACAGGTAAAGTAACAATAATAATATCCTTGCATTTGATTTAGTGCCTTATCATGTCAGAAGGATGTCTCAAAGTGCTTCACAGGATCCACTAGGAAATGAAGTGAATGACCTATTTTATCTGGAGGATTGTTTCAATGTGTCTAAAGTCTTTAACGCATGAAGAAATAGATTCAGATCATTTGGTAAAATTTATGGCTACTTGTTTTAGTCTCAGACATAATTGGTTTAGAACTTAGATTGACTAAATTAGGCTGTATTTTCTTATAATAATAATCCTTGTATTTGATATGCAAGTATTTTATATTATATGTTGGAAATCTGTATGCTATTCTATAACCAATGAGAGATGACACAGTGAGTCCCTGAGTTTGACTGTGCAATCTTAAAGAGACATTAAACAGGGGAAAGGATTAAGAGATTGTCATATTAGGCTGAGTTTGAGTACTTCCTGTGGGCCTTTGGAGATTGGCATTTGTTTGAATCTGGTTTCCAGTCTGTCCGTTCAACTGAGGAAGGTGCACAGCATGAGTAGACGTGAGGAAGATGCAAAAAAAAACTCATCTTGAAAAGAAAACCTTTCAACCAAGAAAACAATTACAAATCCAAGTCAATAGAAACATTTATGTATGATCAACAGCTATTCCCTTCACACCCCATTTTCAATACTATATTCAGTGATCTCTATCGTCCACAAGATCATTCATAGTGTGAAGTGCAGGATCTTCGGCTGAATGGAAAAAAAATTCTTCTGATCGTTTTTAGTACTGTAGTGTTTTCATGAAATGAGGGGTGACATTTTACCTTTAGGTATTTGTTTTGCAGGTGAACAGGTTTTTGGAATCCTATTCTCACGTTGCCAAAGATCTCCCAGTGGAAAAGCTGGAACAGCTAAAGGCATTATTTTCCAAGGCGATGGCTGAATATAATAACCTGATAACAGGGCTGGGACCTTCTGAAAACACTACCCTCGAACAAGATCTTTTAAGGTTTCAGAAGCTGTCATCTGTCCTGCAGTGGTACTTAAAGGCGACCAGGGAAATGTGCCAAGAATCATGGGCACGATTTAATGTCTCACACATGCTGTTTGGTGTTGCACTTCTAGCCGCTGCGTGCCTGCAATGTTTCCTCATATCTGAAATCGCTTCAATATTCAAAACCTTATACAAAGAGCTGCTTTTGTATCCAGTAATCTGGGGCCTGGCCTCAGGATTGATGTTTTGTCTCTGGGGGCTGCTATCTGGCACAGTGGTGAACCCTCTGATAATATGTTGCTGGATCGCTGCCGGGTCACACCTGGGCTTCCATTGGCACCTCTGGAGATCTAACAATCACATTTCAAATAAACTGACCCAAATTTCCAATTCTCCGACTCAACAGAAATGGAAAAGTTGGTCAAAACTCTCAGGAGCCTTAGGAATTCTGCTCCTGAGGTGCACAGCTATGTTCTCCAATAGCTTTGTAGTAACTGAGGGACAAGTTGTGTCATTCCTTTTGAAATCTATTGTGACTTTTACAGTAGTGAAGCTTAAATGGGAGGGTAAATTTACAAATCCTAGCCTGAACACACCATTTGTGCCAGAGACTCAGAAAAACCCTGCGTCAGTTTCCTGTAGGCGAGAATGTTTTTACTTACTTGGGTTCCTGGTTGCCTTCTTTCTCTGTGTTATCTTCTCCAAGAGCTTTTATAACTGTCGTGAAGAGCTAATGAACTGTGAGCCCTCCCCTTTCCTCAAACCTTTGTCCAGTTTAAAGTACAGTCAAGAAAGGAATTTCCATTATATCCTATCTATATCGTCACTTGCAATCCTGGTCTACCTCATACGAAAATGGTTCCTTCATTATGGAAACCTCAACAGCTCCCATCTACTCGTGTTGTTTGTCCGTTTGGGCTTCCCACTTATTGTACTTTGCTTGTGCGGCTTTTGGGCTGTGAATGCTGCTCCAGAAGAAACTTCCGTTAAGCTCCAAGATCTGATAAAGGAGATTGTAGTGGTGGTTCCAGGTATTGTTTGTGGACTGGTTGTGACGGGCTTCCTAATAGTCCTGTGGAACCCGATCACTGTGTTTGTGAAGGACAGCAGGCAGTCTGATGAAACTCTCATTACTTCATACAAAGGTTCTTCTAGAGTGGAAGATGACTCCCTGCATGTAATCCCACAGATATACCGTAAAATGCAGCAATCGATGAACGTTCATTTTAGTGGCAACTACGATGAGAAGCCAACAGTGACCGCTTACGGCTTAGGGACAGTGTACTCTGCTGCCCTCCTCACAGTGCTCACTCTGTTGACGCTGTTGCTGATAATGCTGCACAATGAGAGAATGGCACTTGCATTCCTACTGCTGTTCTTGGAGGGATTTTCTTTCCTTGAAATACATGGGACAGCGAGGAACCTTTCAGTGGCGGCCAGTAACTTGGGTACGTTGCAGTCCGCAGGATCTAACTTTAAAAGATACTTGTTAACCATGTGATAATTTTGTGAGGATATTATAGATGTTTTATTTGTTGTGCGTGAATCAAAGGCCTTTCACTCACAAATACTTTTGCATTTCATGTTAGAACTAAATATATCCCTGATTGTGCAAATCTTGTGTTTATTAATAACAACAACAAGAAGATTCCATTTATAGAGCGCCTTTCACGTCGGGAGGATGTCCCAAGGCGCTGGACAGTTGGGTCAGGACCCGAGCAGGGGGGAAATGGTCAGGGTGAGGGAAGGGAGGGAGTGAGGAGGGGGTAGAGAGTCGAGAGGGGAGCTGAAGGCACGATCAAAGAGAAAGAAATAATAATATTAATGCTTACATTTGATATAGGTCTTTCCCATCTGGAGGATGTCTCAAAGCGCTTCACAAGATATACTGTAAAGTGCTGTGATTGTGCTTTTGAAGGCAATCAAAATTTGTTGAATATATAAGAATTTTTAGAAACAGGAAGGTTTTATTGGACCAAAGAGCCTGTTTTTAAAGCACAAATGCCTGCTGGAGTTCAGTTCTATTGGCACCAGCTGTTATTGACTAACGTGTCAGAATGGCCAGTCTTTAGAGTGAAAAGTGTGGTGTGAAAATTTGCTGGATTTCAGCAGAATGGTTTGGCCGAAAGCCAGCCTCAATGTATCAGTGGCTACTATTGCTGTTGCCAACTACAGAGCACAGCAGTTGACTAGCACTTCCCAGAACACTGGTTTAATTGATAGTTACCACGTCACCATGTTACGTTTTAACTCCATATTGTGTGAGTTGAAACAATGAGTGTTATCATGGGGGAAGGCATCACAGCAAAGCCACAACATTTCTTTGAGATAAAACTAGGTAAAACTTAGAATCAATCAAAATCTTTGTTAACTATTCGATATTCCTGTGTGTCAGCCTGTCTCAGCTAGTAACATACTTGCCTCTGAGTGAAGATTGTGGGTTCAAGACCACCTTGGAACTTTGAGCTTATCGACTAGCCCAGTGGTGGCCAAGCTTTATGGCCGACTAACCAAATAAATTGTTTAATACATAAGAATTTTTAGAAATTCTTCGTACACCAGCAGCTTTCTGGTGTAGGCAGTGGATACTCTTGAATTCTAGAAGATACTCTGACAGCAGATGACAGTGCATTGTGTACTTTGCATAGGAGAACAGGAGCAGGAGGAAGCCATTTATTGAGCCTGTTCCACCAGCTTATTAGACCTTGGCAGGTCTTTGAATCCCAATGCCGCACTCTGTCGCTATTATCCCTTTACCACGACAGTTTGTGAGACACTGCTATGCGCAATTGGCTGCCGTGTTTCGCCCACAAAAGTATACAGTTAATTCACTTTACAGTATACACTGTGAAGTGCTTTGAGATGTCTCGAAGATGTGATAAGGCGCTATATTAATGCAAGAATTATTATTATACCTCTACTACAGTACTGCAAAATAAATTTAGTTATGGTCAGAAACATAATCTGGTGGGCCAGATTCTAAAATAAAGGAGAAAAATATGTTTCTTTTAAAAATGTTTTGAAAGGAAATGCTTGTTTTTTGGTGCATGTGAAGTAATTATCGTTAACACCCTCAGATTAGCCCCACAATAAGGTGTGTACTATGACATTCCAGTCCTCTTTCCATTTTGTCTTCTTCCAACCCCCCATAATTATATTTCCCCTTGAATTCTTCAGTGATGTTTTCATCTTCCTGTCCATTTCCTGCTGTAGACGGGATGATAATAATGATAATAATAGGGGATATTCTGAAGGTCAAAGAATGGATTGGCTCGACTATTGGGTTCATGTTATGGCCTCAAAAGCCTTTCTCTAAATGAAGAGATGGAGCCCTCCTCCATCCAGCAGTCTGTAAGGAAACTAATCAATTTGATGGAAACTGGTGTGAATATCAGATAAGGCATAGATTCAAACTCCCTGATTCCAGGTTTGAAGTTTCATTCAGAAGTTAAGGGATCTCTAAATGTTAGAAAATGCTGTGAGGTCACCCAACAATCTGGATTGTTTATCTCCATTTAGTGTTAATCTCATCTGAACTCAGCCAGGATTGAATATTAAGAGTATTATAGTAGCAATAATAATCATTCCATTTGATTATAAAGCCATTCATGCCATAGAGCTTCAAGGACTTACTGTAAAGTATAGGCAAAACTAGGCAACCAATTTGCGCGTAACAATGCCAACAAACTGACATTTGGGAAGTAAATGACCAATTTTATCTGGGGTGTTGTTGAGAGAGTGTATTGTGAGCTTTAACATGTAGACAAGACCTCAATTTAGCATCTCATTCGAAGTCCAGTACCACCATCAATACTGCCCCAGTACTGTATTGGAGCGTGTCCAGATTGAGTTTGGGGTTTGAATCTATAACCTGACTCACGGGGCAAGATTGATATCAAATGAGACAGGCTGACACCTGAAAATTAATTCTTTTTTGTGATTAAATACTTTGCAGCATTACTTTACACTCACCTTCAGAGTGTCCTTCATTTTCACAGGAAATAATGGGCTGCATTTTTTTGGAGTAAATTTACTGAATGTTATCAATAACCACCGAAGACTTGGTTGAATTGCATGTACAATATATTGTTAAATGTGAGGCTCTCAGCTTTGTGCAGTCTGATCTTTGTAGTGCAGAAGTACAAAACATTTGCTGATATGTGCATTGCTGTGGTAGATTGCTGAGTAGCTGCTTTTCGCAGCGAATATTATTCATTGTGATTTAGTTGGCAGCAGGGAATTCTGCTAAGCATCGTTTTCTCACAATGTGTAATTCAGTACTGATTCATCTATCTCTTGTTTTTTTTTCTCTTTTTCAGGATATTTTACTGTTCCTTGGTATGCAGTTACAGCCTGGGCTTTTTCAGCTACACAGTTCTTTTACGCAACCGGCCACCAACCAACGTTCCCAGCGATCCACTGGAATGCTGCTTTTGTTGGATTCAGTGAAGGACACACCTCCAACATATTGCCAGCACTCATGGTGGGAATGAACACATTTGCTTCTCATATTTTGTTTGCAGGTAATTACTTTATTGCTTGAAAAGTGCCCACAACAAATTTGGATACATTGTTTTGCAAACATTTTATCGAATTGAAATAAATGTATTGTAATATGAGCTAAGAGAAGTGATATTCACACAATGTTGGATCTGCCATCAGCAACCTGATTTTTGGATAATGTTTTTGCATATGCATATTTGCATATAAGCTCATAATTCACTGCAACATTTCAAGCAACCATTAAGAAATGCTGAGACGTGGCTCAGCATATTGGGGTCTAAAATGCTTCATTCACAAACTGGATATTTTTGCACTAATTTGACTTCTCCTTTGAAGTTGAAATTGTAGGAATCACTGATGTATAGTGTGTGGAATAGAAATATGTTGTAATCTCAAACACAGCAGAAGCTATTTGTGACCAGTGTTCTACTTTCTGACTTTCATGTCTGACTTATTGAGCCTTGTTCGGGCGGGAAACAGCAAAACGCCTGCAGTAAAACTGACTTCTGGTTTGCCATTGTGGCAGGTGTTTTGAGTTTGGATATTTTCTTGTCCTCGGAAAGGAAAACAGCTTTTATGATCAATATTTGTTCGTGAATCCCGCATTTTCAATTGCAACCCAGGGATGTAATTGGCATTGCAACGTCTGGTTTAAATCCCACATTTATATTAAGCTTAATGTATATTTGTATATTTTATTGTGAATTTATAACTTAAGATTTTCGATAACATTCTCCCCTAATAATCGGGGTTTCACAAAGAGAGACAGAATGGTGGACACAAAGAGAGAAGAACATTGTCTCTTACCTTTTAGTTACAAGCCCATGAACCTGCAGATAATTTATTGCCTTTATATTACCTTTATTTATTTCTTTTCTACCTTACAGTGTGAGCGTTCCCTTTCTTCCTTTCTTCTATTTTATTCCGCCTGGCTAGTTGTAAAAACACAGCAAATGTGTCAGTGTTCACAGGTGCATTGCAACCTTTGGCTGACTTTTCAGTTCTATTCTTGAGGTAGTTGGATGTCCCTTGCTGCTGCTGTGGCCATTTATTCGTGAAGTGCAGAGTTCAAAAAACAAGAAACTTGGACAGGAATCGGTAGAGGAGGACCAGATGATGGAGATGCGGCTGCGAGAAAATCCCCACAAGTTTTCTGTTGCTTTACTGCAACTGGGAATGAGATACTTGTTTGTCTACGGTGTGCAGGTACCTTGAATTCCCATCTGTTAGAAATTAAATCACTTACATTTTTAAATCCATGAGATACATTAATTGTGTTGTGTCAGGAGTGAATACTGAATTTCCCCAAGGGTCATTAATAATCCCTCCAAAACAAAAAACAATAATAAATTGGTCATTTTCAATCTACGACTGTTTGTGGGACATTGCTGTGCGCAATTGGCTGCCGCGTTTGCCCACAAATACACAGTCAATTCACTTTACAGTATATTCTGTGAAGCGCTTTGGGACGTCTAGAAGACTTGAAAAGCGCTATATCAAATGCAAAGCATTATTATTACTATTAAGTGCTGAAATGTCGCATGCCCTCAATCACCTTGCCCTTTTTCTCGTCTTCTCTGCTGAAGGCCATGACACTTTGTGATTGCCAGTTCTGAGGCCAACACTGCCCTTCAATGCCTTTCCCACCTAATGTGGGAAATTTCTTAATGTGTTAGCCCAGAAAATGAGTGTTGACAGAATATTTGACTATGGAAGGTATGGCAGATGATCTTGCCCCCACCCAACACATGCTTAGTGCCTACTTGCATGGGGTCACTTGATAGCAATCGGGAGTAGAATTCTGTTTTTTTCCTTTCCAACACCTTCCTTTGTCCAAGGAAGTCCTGAGGCCTGTTATAGTACCTGTTATAGACCTCAGCACAGATTGACATTCAAACCTACAACCTGTTGATCTGGATGTCAATACCACACTGGGAATTGCCTTTGCCCATAGACTACCAGTGAGCTAGAATGTCAGGTGTTCAGTTTCTTTTTGCGTGCTGGAAGCTAGTTCATCTTATGGACATGTAAATTCACCAAAAGAAGGGAAAGGGATTGGGGAAGGGATTTGGAACAGGATATGTGCATGCGACTGCCAGGATAATGGACAGTGAACTGGATGGAACTTGAGTTTTTCCTCTCGCGATTCTTATATTCCTATGAATGAGGAATGGATTGTAGCAGTGAGGTTTGTAACCTTGATGAACAAACGGTCGTAGCCTCAAAGTAAGGGCAGCAAATGAGAATAGTTAAATACTTAAAGTTAATGGTTAAATAATAAATACATTTTTATTACCACTCCAAATGTTTTGTAAACAAATTTGAGAAATTGGCACAAGATATTAAATTTGTATTGGGAATATTTTCCTACTGTGGAACCTTGAACACAGTATTAAATGTGTATTGGAAATCGTAGCTAACTTTTAAATGTTTCACAAGTATTAAATGTGGATTTCAATATTTCCTAACTGGAAAGAGATTTTAGCAATAAAGATGACTTAAAATGTTTTCCTCTATAAACAGAATAATTTACAATTGAGTTTTTAAAATGTTTTCTAACTCAGCTTTTCACTGGTCTGAGATTGAAGAAAAATGGATAAGGCTACTTTTCCTTTTTCCACAGCTTCTTGCATCTGTGTGTGCTGCTGCTATGCTGAGGAGGCACTTAATGGTGTGGAAAATCTTTGCACCAAAGTACGTAATCCATCATTAACCGTATCTAATAGCAATAAATAATAAAGTAAAATATTTATTTTAATGTAAATAGTTTCTGTTGAAATAAATGGAGATACTCAGGTGGGGGGTTAGGAAAGTGGTAAAGAGACAGGTTACCATGCACTATGAAACTCAAGGATACTTTATTGAAGTTAGAAAATATCTTTAGAACTGTATCATTTTGAGAAGTTGAATATAACATACTCTCCCTAGCCTTTCCTTTTCCTTTAACTAGTGTGTAATATCATCTGTCCCTCTTGTGTAGTTGTGCACAAAATAATTTTTTTCCTGATTTGTTTACAAGTCTGTGATATAACTTTTTTCTCCCCTTTCTTCCCAGGTTTCTTTTTGATGCTTTGAGCTTTGTTGTGATGAGTGTGTTTCTTCTTATCACATTTTCCTTCATGATGCGTGTGGATGTTGTCGTCAGCAACTGGTTTAAGGAGCTCATTTTAAAGCAGTCAAGGTAGTGTTAACATTGCTATCAAACAGCAACGTAGCAAAGACTGCTGGAGATGGTTACAGTGTGAGAATTGCCAACTGAAGTAAATACTGTAAAATACAGACCATACCCTGTGGAATTCTACCTCCGCTGGACATCAGGAGTTGCTGTAAAGGAAGCACAGTTCACTATATTGCCTTGTATGCCCAGTGAAACAATACTAAGTTCCATTAAACACACTCGTGAAGAAGAGGTTTAAACCACTGTGAAGGAATATTCCAACTTTTTGACCGTTTCCCGTTTACAAAAATTACACAAGTTTTTTGTACTTATGAAGTGAAAGTGAGTATTTGGGGAGCTTGCTTTTAACTTCTGAATTACCATAAATGGTTTCAGCGCATCGCATGTTGGGCTTTCCACTGTGTTGGTCTGCTGCTTTTATATATCAAAATCCTTTATATGAATATTCAAGAGGAGAAATTTAAAACAATTTTATCGCTTTAATTTGTATATTTTGTATTTCCTGTAAATTAATTTAAAACTGTTTCCATTACATGGAATGCAAAGAGTTTAAAGTCTGTAGTTTTTTCTCGAGTACCACCTTCCTATTACAACATATCAAACTGATTTAATTAGAAATTCATGCCATTTTTTACGCAGAAATTTTAATATGCAAGTACACTGACAGCTTTTAGCGTGACTGTTACAAATGACTGGGACTGTAGATGATAAATATATATTGGAGGAATTCTATCTGGCAATCAAAACTGTTATAACAGGAAGGCACAGCTAAACCAAGTGTACATACCTGCGTGCAGAAGGATAAATAAAGAATCTGCAATGAAGTTACTATAGCTTGGATTTCATTTCCTATCCTCTTGAAAGGTAGTCTTGCTTGATTCTTTGATTAGCAAACGGTTTATGAACACAATGATAAGCCAATAATTGATTAGAAAGGATTAATTGGGGATAGTTGCATTGATTTAAGGATTTAGTGTTGGTGTATCAAACAGTATAAAATGTTTTCCCTGTAACCCAATGAGTACCTGAACAATGTGTAGATAATGATATGTAAAGCTGTTTTATTAGTTCAGTGATGTACAAATACTTTTATCTATTTCTTTGCAAATTTCAACTTCAATCTCTTGCTTTAGAATTCTGTTATATGAGATTGCTTATTTTTATAATTTTTTTAAAATCCAAAAATAAATGTTCACTACAGATGCCTGTGTTTATTCCTGGAGGAAAAAAGGTTTAAAATCGGTCATGTTCATTTGAGGTTATGTAATTCCTCTTTTGTTATTTGGAAGTACGTGAGAACGGGGTTTGTGAGGAATGGCTCTCTCCCATTTTTTTTCTTGTGTTGGTTTTGTGGGGGGAGGGTGGCGATGAGGAGAGAAAGGGTGAAGCCAAGCAAAACAGACACTTCTAAATCTGAACTAATCTATCTTGCTTTTTCATTAAGGGACTAATCCTTACATTTGATGTAGCTCATTTCACACGGATCTTTAACGTCGTTTTCACGTGGGTAGAATCTCAAACGCGGTGTGGTTTGACGCTGAGCTGATAGGAGAGAGGAAGTGACTGAAGGCACGGGCGAAGAGGAAAGTCTTCAGGTGTGATTTGAAGATGGGCGAAGAGGGGGCAGGCAAGGCGGTGGGTTTGAGAAAGGGAGTTCCAGAGAAGTGGGGCAGAGTGGCTGAAAGCACGACCGCTACGGTGGAGCGGAAGGGACGAGGGATGTGCAGAGGACCCCCAGGCAGCTGAACGAAGGTGGTGAGTAGTGCAGTGGGGGTGGGAGCAGATCAGGGAGGTATGGAGGTGCCAGGGTGTGAAGTGATTTGAGAGTGAGAGGAGGGATCTTGAAATCGCTCCGTGCGTGATTACGGCAGCCAATTGGTGCTCACAAAGCGTGCGGTTAGGAACGTAAGTAAAAAGTGGCACTCGTCAGGTGAGAGGTACTGCTTCCACCACTCGCAGGGAGGAATACATTGACATGAGCCAATGTGAGTGACTGGCAGCCCCACGGGGTCAGGGTTTGGCCACACACAGTTGGCAGAAATTAAAATCCGTTTGTAGCCCAAAGTCAACCAAGTACATGTCCAAAAGCAGCCTGGTATTATACGTTGTGGCTAATTTGGAGTCCTGTAGCTCAGTGGTTAGAGCATTCGCTTTGCAAGTGAGAGACCTGAGTTCAATTCCAGGCAGAGGGCGAAACCTTGGGCAAGTTTCCTTACTCCACACAGAGCCTAATAATAATCCCTCCAAAACCAAAAACAATAAGAAATTGGTCATTTTCAATCTATGACTGTTTGTGGGACATTGCTGTGCGCAATTGGCTGCCGCGTTCGCCCACAAATATACAGTCAATTCACTTTACAGTGTGTTCTGTGAAGCGCTTTGGGACGTCCTCCCGACGTGAAAAGCGCTATATCAAAGGCGAGGATTATTATTATTATTAATTTAGATTAGTGCTTTGGAAACTGTGTCAGACGAAGTCTTCAAAGGGGAAGAAAGACGTTTAAATTCAAAATTCAAAAAATTGGGCGCCCGCCCGAAAGCCGTTTCGCACGCGCAGTACAACAACAACAACAACAAAAACCCGCCCAATTGGGCGCGAACCCGCCCAACCCGGCGACATCGGCCGGAGCTCCGCGGCGTGGCGCTTCCCGCGCATAATCCCGGCCGTGGGCCTTTTGATAGACGGGGCTGTGAACCAATGAGGGAGCGGCCCGGGAGCGTGTGGCAGTGGTGGGCCAATCCCTGCACAGGGGCGGGACTTCCCGGTCGGGTCTCGCGGTGCATCGGTCTGTCACGGTAGCGCCACGGGCTCAGAGGGGAGGCGCGTGACGGGCGCCGGCCATGGCGGGGCCCTGCGGCGGGAGCTGCCTGGGGTCGTGGGCTGATGAAAACAACCAGTTAGTGTCGCGAGTAAAGGTAACCGAGTCTCTTGCACTTGTCCTCACAGCCGACGGCCACAGAGGGAAAGAACCAGTCGCGGTCTCTGACTGTGGCTGTGGTGCAGTTTGTTGTTCAAATCCACTGGGGAGTTCAGAGCTGCATTTGTTGTGAATGAATGTGAATTGTGAGTTCTTAATTTCGCTGTAATTTTCCTGTTCACTTATCCCGAAGGGTAACGCTGTTCATCCCTTCTCCCTGTATCTGGGTTATGGGAAGCAACAAACAATGAATAACAATAATAATATGCGAGTGTAGCTGATTGAGTTCCTCACAGATATAATAATAATAATAATAATAATCCTTGCAGTTGATTTAGCGCTTTTCACGTCGGGAGGACGTCCCAAAGCGCTTCACAGAACACACTGTAAAGTGAATTGACTGTATATTTGTGGGCGAACGCGGCAGCCAATTGCGCACAGCAATGTTCCACAAACAGTCGTGGATTGAAAATGACCAATTTATTATTGTTTTTGGTTTTGGAGGGATTATTATTAGGCTCTGTGTGGAGTAAGGAAACTTGCCCAAGGTTTCGCCCTCTGCCTGGAATTGAACTCAGGTCTCTCGCTTGCAAAGCGAGTGCTCTAACCACTGAGCTATCGGACTCCCAAACAACTGCATTGGAGTGTCAGCTTAGACGACGTGATTCCAAGTGCCCACGTGGGGTTTGAACCCACAACCTTCTGACTCGGAGACAAGAGTGCCCGGCTGACGCAAAGTTATTGAACCTGTTTTTTTTTCTTACAGCGCACACAATGGCTTTTCAGCTTAATGATTTTAAAATATTATCACGGCCTGCCACTGAGTCTTTTATCTATTTGGTTACCCTCCCCTCACTGACTGGGGAGCAAACGTTGTTGCTAAAAGAGGCTCGAGGTGTCGAGGACTTTCTCACATGAATTATGCTAAAGTGCCAATGAGGTGACCGCACAATATTGCTGGATTGCGCTTCAGTGTTCTGGCAGATTTAGAAGAACATTTTTTGTCTTTCCTGTGCCTTGTTTTTCTGGTTACTGCTGATGTGTAGTGCCTATCACAATGTGTAACAATGTTATTTCCTGCAAGAAAATAAAAACCATAGACCTCATGGTTTCTTGTATTGTAACCAATTCAGAAAGTCCTGATTGTAGTGCTCAGAGAGCATTGACACCGACCGAGTGGTTAAAAATTGAAGGGAATCTGAAGCTGCTCAACTTTTTACACCTACTGGCAGTTGGTTCAATACAGGATCAGTCATTTCTATTTACACTGCGTTTTGTAAAGAGATGGTGACAAACAAACGTGTCAAATTCACAATTAATCACCATCTTCAGCAGAGTTTCATTAAGCAGGACCTGGTCGCTCTGGGGCTTTGGAATTTTCTGTCAGTCCGTCACATTTTAAATCAGCCTTTTGAATTATTATAAAGTTACACATCATTGCAATTTTATGTAATCTCGCTCGATTGTGTAATGTTGTTTTTCACTGCCTTGATCAAACGATTAGAGAAAAATTGTAGTTATTTGGTGACTCACCTAATTGTTTCAAGATTGTTGCAGGTGAAAATATTTTTTTCCATAGCTTTTACACCATGATTACGTTCAGATACTTTTACCGTTTCATTTTTGCTATCGTATTGCAACAGCTAAGTTGTTTGAGAATAATTAGTAGCTTCATTGTAAAGTGCTCAGTGTAGAGCTAACTTGTGGCTGTACTCCATAACCTAGCACAAAATTGTATATCAGAGGTCAAGAATTTTCTACGTAGGAAATTACAGATTAGAGTCAGGATTGCCAGAAATTAAAATATGTTTGTAGCCCAAAGTCAACCAAATATTAGCTCAAAAGTAGTCCAATATTATGTGTTGCCTACTATGGATGAACAGATTTAGGTTAGTGCTTTTAAACTGAGTAAGAAAAGGTCTTCAAAGGAATAAAAATGTTTGCAGGTTTAATGTAAAAGTTAGGCTCCTGCCCATAGCCATGTGGAGTTAGGCTTTGGGTTGCTTTAAAAAGCCTGCAGTGAAGGTACTTTTGCATTTTGTGAATAATGTCATAATAATGCATATAATAATAATCCTTGCATTGGATATGGTACCTTATCACGTCATCTCAAAGTGCTTCACAGGATTGCACTGTGAAGTGTGGTGACTGTGTAGTTGTTGGCGAGCATGGCCGTCAGTTTATGCACGGCGATGTCCCACGAACGGCCATGAAATGAGTGATCACCTTTATTGAGAAAAATTGTCGGAGAAACTCATATAATAATATTCTTTACATTTGGTATAGCGCCTTTCACGTCAGAGGCCATCTCAAACCGCTTACAAGGTATACAGTAAAGTGGAGTGACTGTTTTCTGGCCTAAAGCAGCAGCCAGTTTGTGCACAGCAGTCTCTCACGCACCCTTATGAAGCGAATGAACAATTTTTTGTATGGGGGAATTTGTTCGCCAGGACGCAGAGAGAAACTTCCTTCTCTTTGTGAATAATGCTGCGGGATCTTTCACATTCACCTGAACAGAAAGACAGGGCCGTGATTTAGCACTTCACCCAAAGGACAGCACCTCCAACAATACAGCTCACCCAGAGCATTGCATTGGAATGACAGCTTAGACTGTGTGAGTTTCAAGTTCTGACCCACAACCTTCTGACTCGGAGCCAAGAGTGCTACCACCTGAGCCAGGCTAATACACAACTCATGGTCTTAAGCTCGAAGGATTTGTCTTGACGTTCCTGTAGCTATTCCGTCAATTATTGTACATATTTTGTGGAACTCTCGACTTTTGTTTTCTAGGATGCTTCTACCATCAGTGCAGATCGGAGGGAAATCCTGCATCAGAGCTACATCTCTTTCAGCAAACTCCTGCAGAAAATCCAAGGTATTGGTCAGTCAATTGACAGTGACTGACAATTTGTTTTGTGGAAGCTTTAAATGCATGAGTTTAGATTGAAAGGTGACTGTAGGATACTCCTGCATTTCCTACCCACTTATTTTGAAGCCATGTTGCCTCCTTGCAGTTTTTTTAAAAATTCACCTGTGCAACGGAAATTGTATTAAATATTTTTGTACCTCTCTGGTTTCTGATAGTCTCTGTGCGCTGGTATTATGCAACACCTGCACTCTATATGGGTGACCCACTCTCTAGCTTCTCTCTCAGCACCTCTCTGGACTGATTGCTGGGAAATTTGGAACTGAGCTGGGGCCAAATCTCTTTAAGATATGCCTAGGCGGTGTTTAAAATCCTTACCCCATAGCAATCCAATAGAGAATGCAAAAGTAACTCTGAGGGCTGGGGAACAGCAGTTACATTTTAAGAACAAAATGAAAATGCTGCTTGTGTTAGTGCCATATGATAAACTCCACTGTGTGTGTGAGATTGTAATTGCTGGGATGAATCTGAGCCTTTCCATTTCTGTGTCACAACACTGTCCTTTTTGTAGAAAAATCATTGTACATCTACCCTCCCTGCCTCCTGATCCCAACCCCCACATAGGGTCCAAATCCCTGACTATACAGCACCTTAGGACATCCTCCCAACAGAAAAGACACTATACAAATGTCATTTGTTGTTGTTGTCATGATTATACAATACGAGTGACCTGTACAAGGTGCTGCAGTGTTGATGTACAATTTTGATGTAATAATTTGATTGCCTGATTGCCCACTATTAATAACTACCCCTCATTCTCTGTTTGCAGGGTTATCACCAGTCACGCTCAGCATACCCTTGGAGCTGACTGTTCTGTACAATACAATTGTTCTAAACATTGTCTTGTCTGACCGCATTGATCAAAATGATAATAATTTGATTTATCAGGGACTTCTTCGAGGTACGTTGTAAGTAGATTGCCTAGTTTGTAGCACTTCCTCTGGGTTAGAGTACTGTGAAGTACTGCAAAGTACTGCAAAGCATAACTCAAGGCTGACACTGCAGTGTAGTAATGCAATGCTGAAGGTTCCATATTTCAGGCAAGACTTTACACCAGTCACTAATTGACATGCGGACTATTAAAAACAGCAGGGAGTTTTCCTTTTTTTTCTTCCCGGACAATATTCCTTTTCCAAAATCACAAAATATTATTATTAAAATATTATATCTCATTAAAAGTGCAGTGTCAGCACTTTGAGACATCCTCCCGACGTGAACATAAGCAATGCTAGACGAAAAAAGAGCAAGATTTATCTAATTTGCCTTCCACCTTCCAGGCAGTCGCGTGCACATATGTCCCAAACTACCTATGTACTATATCCCATAATATTATTTCCTAAAAGAAAACTATCTAATCTGTGTTTAAAAGAATCAACACTTCCTGCTTCAACCGTCTCCCAAGGTTCACAATTCACTCGCTGAAATACTGTTTGTGTAGATTCGTTCTGAATTTACCCCACTTCAATCACAGGCCGTGTCCTCTGATTCTACTATTCTGGACAAGTTGAAACAGACTGTCATGATCTATATTTCAGCGCTTTGGGATGTCCTCCCGATGTGAACGGCGCTCTATAAATGTAATTTTGTTGTTGTTATATTGTCTTGCCCCTCTCAATCTTCTCTTTTCCAGCGTGACCATGCTCAATTTACTTAGTCGCTCCTCATAGTCCAGTCCTTCCATTCCCTCAATCATTTTAGTTGCCCTCCTCTATCTTCTCAATTTCTCCAATATCCTTTTCGTACTGCGGCGACCAGAACTGTACACAGTATGGTCTCACCAATGTTATACAATGACAGGATTACCCCACTATTTCAGCTTGCTATTGATCTTTTGATACATCCCAACATCTGGTTTGCTGTACTCACTGCCACGGAGCATTGTTGGGAGAACTTCAATTTATTGTTAATCAGGACCCCCAGGTTCTTTTCATTTTCCATACTTATTATTTTCCCTCCGTTGGCAAAAGCCAAGGTTTGGGGACCCCAGTGCATGTTCCGCTAATGCTGGAGTCTAATCAGCTGAATGCAATTGGCTACCACGTTTTGCCCACAAAACACAGTCACTACACTAGAGACATCTCTACGACATGATAACGTGCTATATCAAATGCAAATATTATTAAAACAGTATAGTTTGACATCAAAAGTATTACCTGGCAAGCTTCCCACTGCTTGTCCAGCTCGGAACACCCTACCAGTTAAGGCTTTGGCTTACAGCGTTAACAGGAGCTGAGTGGGAAGAACTCCTGGCCCCAATAACCAGTCAAACGTGGTGACCATGACATGTTATCACAACAGTTTAACGTTGGTTCACTTTTTCTGCTCCTTTGCATTTGTTCAAAACAGGACTGGAAGCTCACAGCAGACATTGTGATAAATTGGATGTCGTGAAATTATGGAGTGTGACATTTCAGATCACCCATAACCGAGATTTCACTCACTCAGCTGAGCAGCTGGCCAGCTTGCAGTGTGTGCTGTGGCTGGCCAACCATCAGCTGGAAAAGATCGAGGCTGTATTTCACCTGCTGAGAGACCGAGAATGTGCAGTAAGCCAGTTATGTCACTTCCCGCTGTTTGCTTATTCAGCAGAACTCACTGTGTCCTGTTGTAGTGCCTCACTATCACGAGAATTTATTATTTCCCCAAGATGATGATTTAAATTACTGATATTCTTTCCTGTCACTGATTTTGGTGTCTGTGTATATATAATCATAACAATTATCTAAAATGCAGACTATTCAACAGAAACTGTAATTTGTAATAGACTTTAGGATTTAAATTCTCGTCTTGAGATTTTTGTCCGTGACACATTGTGCAGAGTGTTGAGAAATTCTTAATTTGCAAGCTGCCCTAATTGGAAACTGGATTTCCTCAGTGACTTTTCTCCCCACTGACACGTGCTTCTCTGTACCTGGTCTGGCTTCTCGTTGCTGAGATGGAGCCCTATAGTGGCTGTTTCCCCATCCAAGCGACCATTGTTCAAGTATGAGCTTTGACAACAACAACAAAAATAGCATTTAAATAGTGTCTTTCACGTGGGGATGACGTCCCAAGGCGCTCACAGTGAATGTTGGTAGAGACTTGACTCTTCGGGATGTTTACAGCATTGTCCACCTGATTGCCACACAACCAGTACAGGGTGTTGAAGAGGGACTGGCTGTTTTTTCCCATTCCGAACCCTGGCAAAGCCAGACCCAATTTGCCCTGTTTGTGCAGCCCTGGCTGAGACCACCAACAACAACAAAAAAAAAACATTTGGATAGCGCCTTTCACATTGGGAGGACGTTCCAAGGCACTGGACACTCAGAGTTTCGGACCCGAGCTGGGAGTCGGAATCAGGAGGGTGGAGGGCAGTGGGGAATGGAGGGTGATCGAAAGCACGGTCGAAGAAGAGGGCCTTGAGATGGGTCTTGAAGGAGGCAAGGAGGGAGGGGACGAGGCAGAGGCACTGCGGGATGGAGTTCCAGAGAGTGGGGGCAGAGTGGCTGAAGGCCCGCCCGCCAATAGTGGGGTGAGCGAGGTGGGACGTGAAGCAGGCCAGAGCCCGCAGAGTGGAGGAAGCGAGCAGGATGGTAAGGGGTTATAAGGTCACAGAGGGAGGGGGGAGCAAGACCATGGAGGGCTTTGAAGGGGAGGACCAGGATCTTGAACTGTATCCTCTGTGTGATGGGAAGCCAGTGGCATCGGGCGAGGATGGGGGTGATAGGATCACGGAGCCTGGTGCTGGAGAGGACACGGGTTTCAGAGTTCTGGATGATCTGCAGCCTATGGAGGGAAAAGTTGGGGTGGCCGATAAGCAGGGAGTTTGCTTAGTCAAACCTGGATGTTATGAGTCAAGCCTGTAGAGCACTTGCTTTGCAAGTGAGAGACCTGAGTTCAATTCCAGGCAGAGGGCGAAACCTTGGGCAAGTTTCCTTACTCCACACAGAGCCTAATAATAATCCCTCCAAAACAAAAAACAATAATAAATTGGTCATTTTCAATCTACGACTGTTTGTGGGACATTGCTGTGCGCAATTGGCTGCCGCGTTCGCCACAAATATACAGTCAATTCGCTTTGGGACGTCCTCCCGACATGAAAAGCGCTATATCAAATGCAAGGATTATTATTATTATGAATATGTCTATGAGGTTTCAGTGGCCTGCAGTGTGAGGCAGTGCTGGAGCCGGGCAATTTTGCGGAGGTGGGGTAGGTAGAGTGGGTCATGGATGGATGTGGAGTAGAAAGGATAGTTGAGGGTCAAACAAGATGCCAAGGTTCTGGACTGACTTAGTGAGATGGAGTGTGCAACCAGGGATGGTAATGCTGTCAGCGCCTGAGGTGTGGAGGTGCTGACAGAGCCAATCAGGAGAGCCTCGGTCTTGTTGACATTCAACTGAAGAAAGTTTGCTCTCATCCAGGACTTGATGTCTGACAGACATTCTGTCAGGACAACAATGGTCCTGGAATCGAGGGTGGAGGCAGAGAGATAGAGGTGGGTGTCATCCGGATACATGTGGAAGTATGCGGAGACCAGCAAAGAGCATGAACTGGGGTTCGGACGAGTTCAAAAGCTCCTGGTCCAAAAGCCACATCGCTATACATCTGGGCTGCTACTGCCGGGCTTTCTCTGGCCTGCTCCTGGTCAGGACTACTCAGCAACAAGCTCTTCCCAACAATGCATCACACACCAAACACTGTAACTCCAATGTGCACACTGTGTTAGAGTTTGAGCCTAGACTATATGAGTCCAAAATGCCAACGCAGAGTTTGAACCCACCATCTTCTGACTGAATGTAACCTACTGAGCCAAGCTGACACCAAATGCTCTTTCCATTTTGAGTCTCACTTCTGTTCGCTCAGTGAACCTCCTCAAAATTTACCGCTCCACTCTAGCCTCGGCCAAGTCGTCCTTCTACTCCAGGATAATCCTGGAGGCGAAGAACAATCCCAGGCTACTGTTTTCCACCACAACCCGACTCCTCCGTCCCCACCGCCAGCCCGCGCAGGTCATCTCCTCCAACCTTCACTGCGAGGAGATGCTGGATTTCCTTGAATCCAAGATCAAGGGAATCCGCTCCGCGGTCACTTCCCCTCCAACTTCCACCCACCCCCCACCCCTTCCCTCCCACACTCCGACTCCTACCCATCCTCCCCTACACACCTTCGTACCCGTTTCCCCACCCTCTGTCACTGAACTCATCCTATCCCTAAAACCAACCACCTGCTCCCTTGACCCCATCCCCACTCCACTCCTTATCTCCCAGCTCCACTTTCTTGCCCCACATATCACTGACATCATCAACCTGTCCCTCTCCTCTGGCTCTGTCCCCATTCCATTAAAAACTGCCATCATCACGCCCACCCTGAAAAAACCCTCCCTTGATGCGTCGCAGCTATCAAGCTACCGGCCCATCTCCAACCTCCCCTTTCTCTCCAAGGTCTTGGAAAGAGTTGTCGCCTCCCAACTGCGCTCTTTCCTTTCCACCCATTCTCTTTTCGAACCCCTTCAGTCAGGTTTCCGTGCTGCCCATAGCACAGAAACTGCCCTGGTCAAGGTCACCAATGATATCCTGACCATCTGTGACCAGGGCTCCCTCTGTCTCCTCGTCCTCCTCGACCTATCGGCAGCATTCGATACGGTCGACCACGCTATCCTACTCCACCGCTTGTCCTCCCACCTCAACCTTCAAGGCACTGTCCTTGAATGGTTTAGGTCGTACCTTTCTCACCGTCTTCACTTTGTCTCGACGAATGGCTTCTCCTCCACCCCCCGCACTGTCTCATGTGGTGTCCCTCAGGGCTCTGTCCTCGGTCCCCTCCTCTTCACCCTCTATATGCTCCCCCTCGGTGACATCATCCGCAGACATGGAGTTAACTTCCACATGTATGCGGATGACACCCAACTCTACCTTTCCTCCTCTACTCTCAACTCCACGACCACCGATGTCCTGACAGCTGCCTGTCCGACATCGAGTCCTGGACGAGAGACAACTTTCTTCAGCTCAACGTGCGAAAAACCGAGGCCCTCCTGATTGGCTCACGTCAGCGCCTCCGCACCTCAGGCGCTGACACCATCAGCATCCAAGGCTGCACTCTCCACCTCTCAAAGCCAGTCAGGAACCTCGGCGTTTTGTTCGACCCTGAGCTGTCCTTTCTCCCTCACATCCGCACCACAACTGGCACCGCCTTCCATCACCTCCGGAACATCGCCAGACTACGGCACTACCTCACCCCTCACGCTGCTGAAACCCTGGTTCACGCCTTTGTCACCTCAAGGCTGGACTATGGGAACTCTCTCCTCGCCGGCCTTCCCGGCACCTCCCTCCACAAGCTGCAGGTCATTCAGAACTCTGCAGCTCGTGTACTGTCCCGCACCAGGCTTCGGGACCACATCACTCCCACCCTCGCTCGCCTCCACTGGCTCCCCATCCCCCAGAGGATTGATTTCAAGATCCTCATCCTCACCTACAAGGCCATTCACGGCCTTGCTCCCTCCTACCTCTCTAACCTACTATCCCCCTACCTACCTGCCCGTACCCTCCGTTCCTCTGGCTCTGGTCTGCTCCACGTTCCCCGCCCCAACCGCCCTACCATCGGTGGTCGGGCCTTCAGCCTCTCAGCCCCCAGGCTCTGGAACTCCATCCCCCAGTGCCTTCGCCTTGCTTCCTCCCTTTCCTCCTTCAAGGCCGGTCTCAAAACCTTTCTCTTTGACCGTGCCTTCAGCTCCCCTCTCGACTCTCTTCCCCCTCCTCGCTCCCTCCCTTCCCTCCCCTCACCCTGACCATTTCCCCCCTCCTTGCTCCCTCCCTTCCCTCCCCTCACCCTGACCATTTCCCCCCTGCTCGGGTCATGACCCAACTGTGCAGCGCCTTGGGACGTCCTCCTGACGTGAAAGGCGCTTTATAAATGGAATCTTGTTGTTGTTGTTCTTGTTCTTGTTGTTGTTGTTGAACAAGAATTCAAATGGAGTTTGGCATTCATTGTGTTTATTGAGTGCACAGTGAGTGCGTGCATGTTGTCTGTAGGATGAAACATTCACCGTAAAAAAAAAATTATCAATAGAAATAAACTATCATGATTGTAAACATGCCTGTACCACTCCTCACTTTTATGTGTTTTATTTTGTAAGGGTTCCTCAGCCTCTGCTTTGGATGAACGATCTGGTGATTTGCTGCAATGGATTAAAATGAGTTCTGTCGAAACTGACCCTGGAGCTGAGGGAGTCTCACTGGTGATCCAGAGCCACACGAGTCTAAGACAGCTCCTCTTCACTGGCATTGCTTTCCTTCGAGGTACTCGCCCAAACCTGTGGAAGGCCTGATCGTAAACACACTGTTCAGCAGTAATGTTCGTGGAAGTCTGACAGTAGCTAGTTGTTTAACTGCATTAATGAGTGGTATCATAATAACCGTTTACATGGCTTTAAAATGAACACTGACATACCTTCATCTCACTGGTAATGAATTGATGAATGGAAAAAAATTATATAATATTTTGATGAGAAAATATTTAGTTTGTAAATAATTAATAACCGTGGATGTAGGTGGATATTTTGACATCAACACTGGGGAGGAATGGCGGCTCAGAGCAGACGTACGAGTGGCTGTTCCTTCTTTCATCCATTTATGATCTCTTATCGGAGATGTTTTGTTGCCATGTCAATTCTCCTCACTGGACCATGTTTTCAACAAAAAAGAAAATTCTGTGGTCCCGAGATTCAATAAGACTTATCTTCTTAGAAAGTCATTGTTTTGTCAATTTGTCACGTGCTGAATAGCTAAGGCAGTCCTCTTCCTATGTTTGTTTTCTTAACATATATTCCTTTAGCGATTACCAGTACCCTTCATTCCTAACTCATGACCGCTGAGAAGGTTGTTTAAACATCCACTGTGGTTTCATATCATGTGACTTAGAATTATGATATCTATCTTCAAAAAAAATTCTGAAGTTATTTTCATGTCTGCTTAACATTCCACTAGTCACTTAATAGATTTTAAAATTGATCTCCTATAATGCTGCTAGGCTCTTTTTTATGCTATCTCTTCATATCTTCATCTCACTGGTAGTGAATTGATGGATGGAAAAAAGATGTCTTTTTTTAAAGTATTATCCTGCTGCTTTCAGATGCATGAAGATTTAAGAAGAATGATTTGCTTGGTTGCTGCTAGTATGTAACTAATTAATTACTGTGGATCTAGTTGGAAAATGGTCTTTGAGAAAGAATGTGCTTATTAACCTTTTGTTTTACTCCCAAGTTTATTATGGCCATGCAGTAAGAATGGATGAGGTTGTAGGTAGGAGCAAACGTTTTGCTTGTTGCCAGCCTTGTGCGACCTAATTTTAGTCCAATTCTTCAGAGTATTGCTGAATGAATAAATTATAAAGGATTATTAATGTTATTATATTGCTTTCTTCTTGCACACTGGCTAGGTTTTCGCAACATGGAAGACGGTAATTTTGCAAACGCCATTGATGTGTTGCAACAAGCAGTTGCGGGACTTTGCTCCAAGAGAATCCTGGCTCAGCTCTATACCCTGCTCGGCTATAGCTCCATCCAAATGGTAATAAATGTCTGTTGTGTTTGGTGGTTATATTGTGTTTAACCCACAGAAATGTTTTGGGCTTCGAGAGCACCATTTTTGAGTGATGAAAGTATTTGTTCACTTAGCAGTAAGTAGGAATGCAGTTGTTAGTCGATTGGCAGATCCCTTTTCTGGGGGTAATAATCCTTTCAAAAATAAGTAAAATACAAAAATTATAATAATTTGGTCACTCAATCCAAATCTGTTTGTGTGCAACAAGATGTCGCGATTTGCCCACAGAATATACAGTCAATTCACTTTACAGTATACTCTGTGAAGCACTTTGAGACATCTCAAATACGTCATAAGGCAATATATCAACTGCAAGGATTATTATTTGGGGCATGCAATGCTCCTAAAAATGAAGAGAGTATACCTAAGTAATCTATGGTCCAGAGGCATCCTAGTTGCACGCAATATAGCCCCTTTCACATCAAGAGGACAACTTGGAAGTGTTTCACAGGATATACTGTAAGGGGTAATGATTCTGTTGGTGAATGTGGCTGCCAATTTGCGCACAGCAGTGTCCCACAAACAAGTGTTGTTATCAACTGGGCCAGGGTGATGCCCTAATAGTAAAAATCCTAATGCACTCTTCCGATTCGACCATTGGGGTCCGATTCGACCTTTGAAGTGTACAATAGCATCCATTTGATAACTCAACCAATTGAATGTGATTGATTGCTTTAGCTGGAAGCACAGTAATTTATCTTACAAGAAGCTTCAGTGGTGTGTATGATCTGTATCGTGTTGTTCAATAACAACATTACCTCTGATACAAGAGAAGCACCAAAAAATAATAAGTTATGCATACAATCAATAATACTAACCTTGAGCTGTACAAAGCTCAGGGTAATACTGCAACAAAAATCTCTAAGTGTAAGGAATTGATGAAAATTCAAGGTTTTTGTTCAAGGTTGCACATCAAATTATATGTGAAACAATATTCTCAGCTCATACTATCCACTAATAATAATCCTTGCATTTGATATAGCGCTTTTCACGTCGGGAGGACGTCCCAAAGCGTCTTACTACTTACTGCTTCATCAGTCAGGCTATGTCCTACAATGCTTTAGCCCTACCATTTATCTCTGTTTCTCTTCTGCATAGTTGGGGGGAGAATGTTGCACAGTTAATACAGATTTGTGGTGTTGAGGATAATGAGCAATAAGTTGAAGTGTATCTGGCGAAGGGATTGCTTGATTCTTCAGTTTTAATGTATTCACATGTTCAACTTTGTGCTTTTGTAGTTTGTTATTTTTTACTTCTTTGTGAATATTGAATGGGAAAGAGTAATAGCTTGATGTACACCTCATGATGTCCTCAACCCACTCTTTCTCAGGAACTCTCTCCCAAAAGACCTTTGCCTTGTTCTGTCTCTCCCTGCCATCCAAAGTCTTAAAGACCCATTTCATTGACCTTGTATTTTGTCCACATCCCTAAATTCTCCCTCCTCCCAACATGAAAGGCGCTATATATTAAACAAAACTGTTTAGTGCGTGCTATCATTTCTGTGTAACGCCTTAGGACATTCATCCTATGTCAATTCATTATGCAAGTGAAAGTCCCTTGTAAAACTGGTTTGTCATGAAACCCAAATTCTTTCCACAGATACTCCACTCACCTTTGTTGCATCTCCTGTGTGTCAGCCTGGCTCAGTTTGTAGAACTCTCGCTTCTGATTCAGAAGGTTGTGGGTTCAAGCCCCACGTCGGGACTTGGGACTCATATAGTATAAGCTGATATTCCAATGCATTGCTGGAGGGAGGGGTGCATTGTCAGACGTACTGTCCTTCAGATGAGATGTTAAACCAAAACCCTGTCTGCTTGTTCAGGTGCTGGCACTATTCAAAAAGAGAAGGGAGTTACTCCCGGTGCCCTGGCTAACAATTATCCAAATACAATTGGTCATTCACTTCATGGCTGCTTGTGGGAAATTGCTGTGTACAAATTGGCTGCCGCATTCATCAACAAAACACACTGTTGCTCCACTTTACAGTGTATTCTGTGAAGCGCTTTGAGACATTTCAAAAACGTGATAAGGCACTGTATCAAATGCAAGGATTATTATTATAATAATTATTAGATCCTGTGAAGCGATTTGGTACCTGCTCCCAATGTGAAAGGTAGGAATTATTATTTGTACCAATTGTAGGAATTATTATTTGTTGTCAAAGTCTGAGTGCTTCACAATATTTGTCGTATAGTGTAAAGGTTGTCCATTTGTAGGCAAACGCTGATAATTGTTGTAATTCTACAGATTTAACATGTAAATTTTGAATCCACCGTCACCAACTTAGACAAAGTGGTTGTACAGTATTTTCAACATATTGGATTTTAATAGCTTTTGATATAAAATGTGAAGTTTTATAACTCGTTTATGAATATATACTTCTGTATTTTTTAAGGACAGACCACAAACTGCCTTGCAGTATTTTAAACGGGCTCTGCAAGCAGATTTCCAGTGCCTTTCTGCATTGAATCACGCTGCCCAGGTTTACCATCAACTGGAGATGATGGAACCAGAGCTTGAGGCCCTCAAATATCTCAATACGGTGAAGCCCATTATTACTTTATACAGTCTTCATTGATTACATTATGTTAGCTGAACTGTTGTGAGCAGGTTAAAGCAGATGTCATCCTCAATAGCCACGTGTGGCAAAACAATCCAAAGTGCAAGCTAGTAACTGTCTAGATGAAAACATTTCATCTAACTTTGTTAGTGCAAGTAATGATAAATTGAGCTTCTTGCAGTAAATTGCTCCGCTGTTGGAAATAATGCTATGTAGCTTTCAGCTCTAATAAAGGGGCATAAGGTGGCAGGGGTTTGTTCAGAATCAGTGTAGCACACTGAATGTTAATTGATAAGGCAGGGAATTTGGAATGAATCTTAGCCAAAGTATTTTGTTCCTAGGCTTTGGAAAGTCAGGATCAGGCGAAAGAAGATGTTGACTTTATTGACCCTGGAGTTCTGATCAGACCTGAACAGCTTTTACGGATCCCTGAAACATGTCTTCCTCTGGCCAGTGTAAACCAAGCCCATGTGAAGCACTTGCTTGCAAAAAAGTTTCTTCAGATTGGAAGGTATTGTCAGACCCCGCCACCGTTAAGCGCTCCTGGACACTACTCGGCATGAAGGGTGCTATATAAATGCAAGTTGTTGTATTGTCACATTCCATTGTGTGAGCAATGTTTGGAAAATCAGTTAAGTAATTAAACCTGGTTCTAGCTGGGAAGGTGATTACTTAAACCAGGTATCAGAAAGGGACGTCCTCCCGACATGAAAAATGCTATACAAATGTAATTTTCTTCTTGTTGTAGAATTAATGTAAATTCCCCTCAAATGTTCAGTTAAAATATGTAAGAAAAAATGTCTAAATATGAAAGTTCAAATTAATACAATATAAATTACAATATAATACAAATATATACATTTATATAGTGGCTTTCACGTCAGGAGGACATCCAAAGGCACTTAACAGTACTGTCCTGGCACTCGAACTGGAGGTTTGAGTCGAGGGGAAAGGTGACTGAAGTGGGTTGACTGTATTGTATTTTTTTGTTAAGAGCTGAAGAGGCAGCAGAACACTACCTTGATCTTCTGTCTTCATTCCTTGAGGGATCCCAACAGGAAGTGAGTAAAAATTATTTACTTGGTTTATCTTTGCAGACAAGCTGCATTTTATTTTTTACATTTTACAATATGAACCGTAGTGTACTCTCCAGTGTCCGATTAAACATTACTGTTTCTGGCTGTGACCTCAGCCTTGATCCCAGTTTAGATCACAGTTGTGGCTTCTGCCTTTCTTGCTGAAGATTTTACATGTTCTAGAACTGGAGTGAAATTCATTGACATACTCAAATCTGATCATAGATCTTCTTAGTCTCAGTTGTGCCACTTTCTTGTTAGTAGTGTTTACATTTTTACAAAGTGCTTCATAGAATATATTGTAAAGTGGATTAACTATGTATCTTGTGGGCGAAACATGGCAGCCAATTACACACAGCAGTGTCCCACAAACATTTGTTGTCTGAATGACCACATTTTTTTTAGATCCGCTAATTGACTAACAACTAGGTTTACTGCTAGGTAAACAGAGGTGTGTGAAACTTGCCTAAGGTTTTGCCCCGTCTAGGAATTGAACCTGGGTCCTCTCCCTTGCGAGGCAAGCACACTAACCACTGCTCTGCGGGACTCCATTGTTGTAAATCACAATTAAAATGTTGTGTCCTTGATGATCCCCTCTGGTCGACGTGGATCCAGAAGTAGCAGATGTTCACATGGAGTCCCGTAGCTCAGTGGTTAGGGCACTCGCCTCGCAAGCGAGAGACCTGGGTTCGATTCCTGGCAGGGGGAAATCTTGGGCAAGTTTCCTTACTCCACATGCCTGATAATAATCCCTCAAGAAAGAAAAACAATAATAATTTAGTCACTTCAATCCATATCTGTTTGTGGGACGCTGCTGTGCGCAATTGGCTGCCACGTTTCGCCCACAAAATATACAGTGAATTCACTTTACAGTATAGTCTGTGAAGCGTTTTGAGACTGTTGACGTATATTGACTATCACCTCAGGCTACATTGGCTATATTTCAAACAGCAACTGAATGTTCTAGAAGGTTTGATAGTTAAATAGTTAAGAGCGGCTTTGCTGACGGGTTGAGGTTAGTTTCTGTTTACATTTCATATTTTTCTGGGAAGATGTTCACTCCTCTGAGATAATGAGCAATCAGGTCCTTGAGCACAGATGTAAGAACAATGGACCACAGAAAGAAAAGGCTGCGGCCTCAGACACCTGCCATCTCAAGGCTGAGAAACAAGCAGATGTTGGAAGGCTGCCGAGAAGTTGTCCATATCTCTCTCTCTGCAAAGCAACCTGCAAAGGGGTGGCATCTCTGTGGCAAGGGGAGGTGGAGTTAGAAACACGTAAAAGAAAGATTTAACTTTGAAATAGTTGGAGTTATGTAGAGGGTCAGCAAACTTCCCAGTGGAATATTGATATTGATTTTTCTGTATCCATATATATGTACAGGGGTGAGGGAATTTACCTCCAGTAAGAAAGTGACCATGAAAAGTGAAAGAGGAGGAGTAGTGGGTAATATGTTTTCAGTTTTGTTTATTTGGCAAGGAAGTGTTAACAGTGGAAGTGGTTAGTCAGTTTAAACGCAGAGGTCAGGTTAGGCAGCACGAGTGAGGTGCTGGGCTAATAGCTGATTGTCTCTGTTGGGTTTACAGGAGTCACTCTCTGATTCTGTGTGTTAGTCTTTTGATTAAGTATTGTTTTCCAGGATTGGTTGTGTCCAGGAGGGTTTATCGGGCGCCAATCCATATCACATTTGTGTTGCAGAGTCAGTTGTCCCTGAAGGTTTACCAGGGCCTGATCCCTGCCTGTATTTTGTGGTGTGTTGTTCGTCTGAAGTACTGAGCAACCCCTGAGTGCATGCTGTGTGATAAATGTTTTGATCATATAGATGTGTATTGTTATTGTGTTATATGTAGCATAATTTGATTACAGATTGTGAAACCTTATGTTTCATCTTATGCAATAAACTCTATACTCTTAGCACCATCTGTAAAATTACTAACAAGACGTCTAGAAGACGTGAAAGCGCTATATCAAATGCAAGGATTATATCTCGTTCAGTGTCAGCCTACCTTAGTAGGTAGTACCCTTACCTCTGGGTTACAAAGCTGTGGCCTCAAGCCCCAAATCGGGATTCAGCTCGTAGTCTAGGCTGATCCTCCAGGGCAGTGTTGAGCAGGACTGAATTGTTAGAGGTATCATCCTTTAGATAAGATGTTAAACTGAGTTCATGTTTCCCTGTTCCGGTGGATGTTAAATATCCCTCGATGCTCTTCGAAAAAAATATCCTGGTCAATAATCCTCCAAATGAATCATTTATTCACCTCACAATCTATTTGTGGGACCTTACAGCAATCTGTTGTATTTGCCTACAAACTAGTCACTACACTTGACAGTGATTACCTATGAAGTGCTTTGAGACTTTTTGATATGATTAGGTGTTATAAGAATGAACGCTCTTTCTTTGTTAACCTAAGCACTTTGAGACACCCTCCTGACATGAAAGGAACTATAATATATAACTATTATATAATAGATATAATCCTTGCATTTAATATAACACATTGTCACGTCACTGAGACGTCTCAATGCGCTTCGCAGGATATACTGTAAAATGTAGCGACTGTATGTTTTGTGGGCAAACACAGCAGCCAATTTGCACCAGCAACATCCCACAAATATATATAACTATCAGATGTAAAATGTATTATGTGCTACCCTATAATATTTAAGTTTTAAAAATTCAGTGATCTCTCAGGGTTTAGAAAGCTCTCTAAATGTGTTTCTTTTTATTTTAATATCTCGTAGATTGCTCTTGATGGCAGCCCCAACGCTCCCAGAATTCCTGAAGTCTACTTGGAAGCGGCAGTGGCTTTGCTGGGATCTGAGAGACACAATGATGTCATCACTGTTTGTGAGGAAATCATCACCAAGATGTCAGGTTTCCTCTCGGAAACATTAACTATTGAAATCCCTGTGAACACTGAAGACCCAGCATTGAACACCGGTTGTCGAACTCCTGCCTCTCGATTGTCAAGTGACCCACGGACACTTTGGGCAGAGAAGAGGGAAAGCTTGAATTATAAGTTGTGGTCGGCGGCTGCGCTTTTATATCAAGGCCAGGCTTTTGCACTGCTGAAAAATAATAAGGAAGCAATTACTAATTTTAGCAGGTGAGTGAGTCACTGTTGTAACAGCAACTTGGATTTATATAGCGCCCTCCATGCCCAACGGCATCTCAAGAGTGCTTTACAGTAACGTATCTCAGCGCCAAGCCAGGGGGAGGGGGAGGAAGGTGACTAAAGGTGTGGTCGAAGAGAAAAGTGTTCAGCGGAGCCCTGAAAGTAAGAGGAGAGGGAGCGAGGCAAAGGGGGTGAGGAAGGGAGTTCCAGAGCCTCGGGGCACAGTGGCTGAAGGCACGGCCACCGAGGGTGGAGTGGAGGACTTGGAGCACGAGGAGGAGGCGAGACCCGGAGGAGCGAAGGCAACGGGTACTGTTTTGAGGAGAGAGGAAGTCAGAGAGGTGGGGGGTGCAGAGGAGTGGAGGGATTTGAATACAAGGGTGAGGATCTTGAAATCGATCCTCTGTGGGACAGGCAGCCAGTGCAGTCTAGCAAGGACTGGGTTAATCGGGGAGCGGAGTTTGGTGCGGGTAAGAATGCGGGCGGCAGAGTTTTGAATGATTTGGATTTTATGGATGGTTGTGGATGGGAGACTGGCGAGGAGGGCGTGAGAAAAGTCCAGCCGAGAGGTGACAAACGCAAGGACTAGGGTTTCAGTGGCTTTCAGAGAGAGGTATTGGCGGAGGCGGGTGATGCGTCAGAGGTAGAAGGAGACGGTGCTGGTGAGGGACCGGATGTGGGGGAGGAAAGATAATTGGGGGTAGAACCTGACGCCTAGATTGCGTACTAGGTTGCGTATAACACAAAACCATTCCAGGAATGCAAGCTCTTTTTGGGCTGTATTCGGGATCTGATTGGCCCCTATAAAATTACAACCGCATTTATATAGCGCCCTTCACGCAGGATAGCGTCCCAGAGCGCTTAGATAAACAGAAAGCTGGGTGGGAAGTGCTTACTCAGACAGTGGCCCCTGCTTACAGTCAATTAGATTCGAGTAATGTTTTGCAAATGGTTGAAAAGATGGCAATATGTGGGGAGTTTTTCACTGGCCAAGAGGCAAGTGCCCATATTCCAAACCAGTGCAGCATAAATCTGTAAATACATTGTAAAGGGACTGCTTTTTACAATGCTTCATTTCATCCCACTAATATGCCTCCTGCTCCCTGTATTGTCCAGAGGGTGCTGCCTCGATCCTCCCCCAGTTGCTGGTCACTCAACTCTCCCTTCTCTCCGCAGCCCTGGCCGACAAGATCAACCAGTCTCTCTCCTCAGGCTCTAAGAACATAAGAATTAGGAGCAGAAGTAGGCCATTCGGCCCCTCGAGCCTTCCCCGCCATTCGATAAGATCATGGCTGATCTTCAGACCTAACTCTAATTACCTGCCCTATCCCCATATCCCCTAATCCCTCTATTTTTTTAAAAATCTATCAGTCTCAGCCTTGAAGATGTTCAAGGACTGAGCGTCTACAGCCTTCTGGGGTAGTGAATTCCATAAATTCACTACCCTCTGAGTGAAGAAATGTTTCCTCAACTCTGTTTTAAAAGGCTGACCCTTAATTTTAAGAATGTGACCCCTGGTTATAGATTCTCCTACCAGGGGAAACAGACCCTCAGTGTCTACTTTATCCAGCCCTTTAAGAATTTTATATGTTTCAATAAGATCTCCCCTCGTTCTTCTGTACTCTAGAGAATATAGCCCTAGTTTATTCAGCCTATCCTCATAGGTCAGTCCCCTCATCCCAGGAACTAACCGAATGAATCTACGCTGTACCCCCTCTAGGGCAAATATGTCCTTTTTTAAATAAGGAGACCAAAACTGCACACAATACTCTAGGTGCGGTCTCACCAAGGCCCTATACAGTTGCAGCAAGACTTCCCTTCTCTTGTACTCTAAACCTTTTGCAATGAACTCTAACATGCCGCTCACCTTCTTACTTGATTGCTTCACCTGCAACTAACTTTTTGAGACTGGTGTACAAGGACACCCAAATCCCTCTGAACACTAACACTATCTAATTTCTCCCCCTCTAGAAAATAATCTGTTTTTCTATTTTTTCTACCTAGGTGAATAACTTCACACTTCCCCACATTAAATTCCATCTGCCCCCTACTCGCCCACTCCCCGAGCCTATCTATATCCCGTTGCAATCTTTTTGCATCATCCTCAGAGCTTACTCTCGCACCTAGTTTAGTGTCATCCGCAAATTTAGATACGTTACATTCAATGTCCTCGTCTAGATCATTGATGTAAATTGTAAATAGCTGAGGCCCAAGCACTGATCCTTGTGGCACTCCACTAGTCACATCCTGCCAATTCGAGAATGACCCGTTTATCCCTACTCTCTGTTTTCTACCCGTTTGCCACTCTTCAATCCATGCTAATATGTTCCCATTAATCCGTGGGCCTTAACCTTGTGCAATAGCCTTTTGTGTGGCACTTTGTCAAATGCCTTTTTAAAATCTAAATAAACTACATCTATTGGTTTCCCCCTATCTAACCTGCTAGATACATCTTCAAAAAACTCTAAAAGATTAGTTAAGCATGACTTCCCTTTTGTAAAGCCATGTTGACTCTGCCTAATCTTGTTATGGTCTTCCAGGAATCCCATAACGACATCTTTAATTAAGGACTCAAGAATTTTCCCTACCACTGATGTCAGACTAACTGGTCTATAGTTCCCCATCTTTTCTCTCCCACCCTTCTTAAATAGTGGTGTTACGTTTGCAATCTTCCAATCAATGGGAACCGTTCCAGAATCCAGAGAATTTTGGAAGATCAAAGACAAGCCATCCACTATCTCAGTAGCCACCTCTTTTAAAACCCTAGGATGTAGGCCATCAGGTCCAGGAGATTTATCAGTTTTAAGACCTGACAATTTACCTAAAACCATTTCTTTACTAATATTAATTCCCCAAGTTGCTCGCTAACATTTTCTTCTTGGTTCCCCTCTATTCTTGGTAGGTTTTCAGTGTCTTCTAAGGTGAAGACAGTAGCAAAGTACTTGTTTAATGACTCTGCCATGTCTTTGTCTCCTACTATAATTCCCCCCGTCTCTGCCTGTAGCGGACCCACATTTACCTTTGACAGCCTCTTCCTCTTTATATATTTATAAAAACTCTTGCAGTCTGTCTTTATATTCTTCGCTAGTTTGCCCTCAGGCTCTGTTCCACTCACCATGAAAACCGCTGTCATCACACCCCTCCTCAAAAGAACCACCCTTGATCCCTCCAACTTCTTGCACTACCGTCCCATCTCCAACCTCCCCTTCCTTGCCAAAGTCCTGGAACACATTGTTCCAGGTCAACTTCGGTTACACCTCTCCCTTCACTCTCACCTCGAGCCCCTGCAGTCTGGTTTTCGCTCTGCCCACAGCACAGAGACAGCGCTTGTCAAAGTCGCAAACGACGTCCTCTCTTTCTGTGACCAGGGCTCCCTCTGCCTCCTTGTCCTCCTGGACCTCTCTGTTGTATTCAACACAGTAGACCTCCTTCACCGTCTCTCCTCCCTCATCCACCTTAGTGGGACCGGACTCACATGGTTCAAGTCGTACTTAATACTTAACTAATCGCTTCCATTGCATCTCAGCAAACGGTTTCTCCACCCGCCCCCACCCGTCACCTGCGGGGTACCCCAGGGCTCCATCCTTGGCCCTCTTCTTTTCCTTATCTATATGCTCCCTCTGGGCGATGTCATCCGCAGACATGGGGTAAACTTCCACATGTATGTGGATGACACACAAATCTACTTGCCTCCTCCAGTACCAACTCCAGTTTCACCGATGTTCTATCAGCTTGAGTGCAAACTTCCTGCAGCTGAATGTGGACGACAACTGCGGATCTAAACTCCTCAACCTCCCTGGGCTCTCCTCAGACTCACTAAACCAGTGCACAATCTAGGCATCCGGCTCGACCCCCAGCTGTCCTTCCTTCCCCACATCTGGTCCCTGACCAGGATCACATTCTTTCAACTCTGCCTTTCCTTGCCAAAGTTCTGGAACGCATTGTTCCAGGTCAACTTCGGTCATACCTGTCCCTCCTTCTGTCTGTAGCTTACCACAAATGCAGCCAAAACCCTCATGCATGTGCTTGTCACCTCCCACGTGGATTATTCCAACGCACTCCTCGCCGGTCTCCTCAGCTCCACTATTCAAAAGATCCAGCTCATTCAGAACTCTGCCGCCTGCATACTGACCTGGACCAAACTCCGTACCCACATCTCACCAGTTCGAGTCAGGCTTCACTGGCTCCCCATCACCGAACGAATCGACTTCAAGATCCTCACACTCATGTTCAAATCCCTTCACTCTCTGGCACCTCCCTACCTCTCTAACCTCACTCCCCAATCCACCACCCCTCACCTCCGCTTGATTGGCACCGGTCTCCTGCTCGTCCCTCGCACCTTCCACCCCACCATCGGAAGTCCTGCTTTCAGGCCCTGAAACTTTGGAACACTCCCTCAATCCCTCTGCCTTGCCCCCTCTCTCCCCTTTTTCAAGTCCCACCTGAAAACCTTCCTCTTCGACCGTGCTTACAGCCGTGGGAATGCATGGTGAAAGAAGAAGGTCTTGAGCTGGACCTTGAAGGAGCCAAGTGAATGGTGAGGCAAAGGAATGGAGTTCCAGAGGGTGGGGGCAGAAAGGATGAAGGCCTTTCACACACACCACCTATTGCTGCCTGACTACTTCTCCTCACTTGGTGTTTAGATCCTTAATAATAGCAGTAATTTTCAGTAACTAACACTACAAGAGCAACTTATTTCATGAACTGTTTTTAACTCTGTCTTAAGCTCCTGTGAGGTTAAACCCATATGCTATAAATAGAGTTATGCTGCTGCTTCATAGTGCAATGCTGTGGGTTTAGTTGTGGTTAGAGCATTTGCCTCACAAGTGTTAAGACCTGGGTACAATTCCTGGGTGGGCGAAACCTTAGGCAGGTTTCCTTACTCCATATGTCTGTTTATTGAGCAGGAAGTAGGAACTCGGTTGTTCGTTGATTGGTGGATTGCTTTCCGAGAGTAATAATCCCTCAAAAAAACAAAAATTGTGTCACTCAATCCACGACTGTTTGCGGGACACTGCTGTGTGCAATTTGCTGTTACGTTTCGCCCACAAAATACACAGTCAATCTACTTCACAATATATTCTGTGAAGCACTTTGAGATGTCTCAATGACGTGATAAGGCGCTATATAAAATGTAACGATTATTAATTGTTTTTTACACAAAGTTTTGTCTTTACACTTGAAATTCCTAGCCATTTGTCCTTACCTAGAGCCCAATCATTTTGAAGGTGTGTCTCACTTTGAAGATGTCTCTCACTTTGAGTGAGAGCATCTTGATGACTCCCTTACAGTTCAGCTAACCCCAAATCATATATAGGGCAACATTGTTAAAAGACAGCTTCTGAAATAATTAATGTCTTAAGAATTGAGAATTATTTTTACGTTACAACAGCAGGAGGTCTTGTTTCATTACAACAAGCAATTTTTTTGTGCAGTTTGTGATATATTAATTGTCACAATGAGATCATATGAGAGCGAACAGATACAATAGGTAATGATAATATATGTTGCGTTTTGGTAAATATTATAACTGGGTTACACACAGTATTGAAATGTGATTTTTTTTCGCCTCCCTCTTTGTCCGTAGATGCCTAAATTTGCTCCTTAAAGTTCAAATTGTGAATTTGCCTCATTCAGGTGAGTTATGTTCATTGTTTATAGTTAGGCAATGGGCTTTGTTCATTTATTTTCTTAATCCTTTTTTTCCTGTATTCAAATATATTGGTTTTGATTTGCTCAGTTGGGTGTCTGACAATGCGGAATCCCATCACCATTTTTTCGAGTATCCAAACCAAACTGAGAATTCCACGCCTCCCACCAACACAAGGAAATACCAGAGATCGATTTTTGGAATGAACTGCGCACTCTCTCCCTGGAGGGATGCATCCTGCTTACCTAATTAGTATAATACCTTTCATATCGGTCCCAAAGCACTTTGCAAGATATACTGTGGAGTGTAAACCTATACGTGTAGATGGTCTTAATTAACAGTAGAAGAACAGAACTAACTCAAAATTGTGGGTGTTTCTTCTGAGTGACTGCTAAATTAACAGGAGTTGTGTAAATGGCCTAAAAATAATAATAATATTTACATTTGCTATAATGCCTTTTGTGTCAGGGGGACGTGTTCAAAGTGTGCACAGCCAGATTGCTGGCCAGCAGACAAGTCCGTCAAGCCAAGTTAGCTTCCCGCATGCTAAAAATGGCTGACATCCAGGTCATAAGATTGTCACTGACATGACTTCTTGCTTTGTGCATGTGCAGCTCACGGGAAGTGGCGTTGGCAGCAACTTGACTCAAAAGTTTTTGTTCAATGCGGGAACTGGCCAGCGCTGTATACTCATGTGCAGTGAATCCAGCTATCACGGCCTCATTAAAGCATGTACTCCTCTTCGACCGTGCTTTCGATCTCCCTGCTTCCCCCCCCTGCCCTCCACCCTCCCCCACCCCAGCCACCAGCTCGGGTCCGTGTCCAGCGCCTTGGGACGTCCTCCCGACGTGAAAGGCGCTATACAAATGTAATTTTGTTGTTGTGCTGGTATTTTATAGACATCAAACACCACATTATAAGAGGGCTTCCCTGTATTGTCTCATTCTGCAAACCCTATTCCTGTGTGACGAATACAAGAGGGTGGGGTTACCCAAGTGCTGAAATTCTAAACAGGTCTAAACAGGTCTATCTATTCATCCCATGTAGCTCCTTCACACTTTTTTTGTCAATTTATGTTTTTCAGTCTAAAAGGAGAAAGTGATTGGTATATATGTAAATGCATATTCTTTGAACAAAGAAAGACACTCCATAGACCCCAAAAATACTGAAAAAAAAGTTTATTAACAATAATAATAATACTTGCATTTGATATAGCACCTTATCATGTCTTCGAGACGTCTCAAATAAATGGCAAAATATGCTGGAGACAAATGGGTCAATCTGTTTAACACCATTATATTTACAGTGGAGTTTAGTTATCACAAAGTCTACTTATACTGGACGTTTGGTCATACTTATCAATCAGCTTAGCCTAAACCTACCCGCACATTAGCATTTGGTTATGATAACTGCCCTCTGATTACAATAATCAGATTCATTGAATCGGGGATTATTCACACCAGCTTCACCACACCTATCTTCTGTTCAAAAAAAACTTTAACCATCTGCTTCACAGTTCTGACTTCTTTCATCCATCATTCATCCTCCGTCTCTTGTGGTAGTGAACAAATGTGCATCTACACAAAAGAAATTGCTGCGACCACTATATTAGCAAACCTGTTGAAATGTGACTACGTTTTCTGTCTACACAGTGAGTGCTGCCAATGTGCTTGGGCAAACTGAGAGGAGAAAACTGCACAAGATGCCCATTTGCACATCAACAAAATAATCCCGCAAATAAAATAAACAGACATNAAAAAAAGGTCTTTTTTTTTTACAGGAGACCCTGGTGAACAGTGTGAATCGTTGAAAGAGATCATGACAGAACTCAACACCTTACAGAAGCTGAAAGCTTTGGCTTTTATTGGAAAAGGTCTGCAGTTGACTGAAAGAGATCAGGACCGGGAGGCACTGCAACATTTCCAGCTGAGTCTACAAGCCTCCCCTGGTAGGTAACAGTCTTGGATCAAAGTTGTCAACCTTGTCCAGCTTTTTTGTTTTACCATTGAAAGCATCTTTGTTTTGTCGTTCCAGCTCACTGCAGCATTTATTTCTAAGTGTTCATGAATGTTTTGTTTGTCCAGGCTCATTGTTAACTATTTTTAAGCACATTTTTTTCAATAACAAGTGGGCAGTAATGCATATTTTTAGATTTTTTTGGATTCAAAGAGAGCTCTATTCAAATATTCAAAGAGAGCTTTGCATCATCCATAGTACCATAGACATTTATTGCACAGAAGAAGGCCATTTGGCTCATTGTGGCTGTGCCAGCTTCCTCAAGAGCAATCCTTTTAGTGTAATTTACCTGCCTCTTCCCCATACTCCTATAGCTGACTCTTTTTAAGGTATTGTCTAGTTCCCTCTTAAAGGCTAGTATGGATTCTGTCAGCGACTTGGGACGTCCTCCTGACGTGAAAGGCACTATGCAAATGTAATTTGTTGTTGTTGCCTCAACCTCTGCTCCTGGCAGGGCATTCCATGTCCTAATTACTCTGGGCATGAAACATTTTCTCCTAAACTCCCCATTTGCTCATCTACTAACTATCTTAAACCAATGCCCTCTCATTACTGACTAACCAACCAGTAGAAGTAATTTCTCCCTACTGACTCAATCAAAATCCTCATAATTTTAAATACATCTATCAGGTCACCCCTCAACCTTCTTTGTTCCGGTAGGAAAAAGCCCCAGTTCCTCCAGTCTCTGCTCAGAAACCAAACCATTTATCCCTAGTATAATTTAAGTAAATCCAAGGGATTTTTTTTGTTTTTAAAGTTTAAAGTATGGAAAGTTTTATTGCTGCGCTTGATGACATCTTGACGTCTGATAATGCAGTTGAATTGATGGAAAAGGGCTAGAGGAACCTCATTCATTCAAATGAATATGCAGATCAGATAAAGGGAATGTAAGAGAGGGGGTGGGTTGCAGGGAAAAAAAAGCAACGGCAGCAATTGTACCAGAGATTAAAATATTAGGCAAGACAGAAGCTTGCTGTAATCCTCTGGCCAGGGAATGGTTTAAACGGCGTAGAGAAAGCAATGTTGTGTGTTGCACTTGTGGAGTCCCTGGGAGGGTTTGATTGACCATTCGTAAACTGGAAGCTTTCTATACAGTAGAGGCTGTGTGCAGAGTTAGCTGTTGATATATTGATGCCCTTCAAACAATATCACCCCAGTTCTTAAGACAAACATACCACATTCCAACACAATGATCCCCACTGCTTTTATACTTTACTTGTTGGTTAATTGCATGTTTTCGCCGTCAAGATATACAGTCAATGCACTTATATTCTGTAAAGGGCTATGAGACGTCTTGAAGGCATGATAAAATGCTATATCAAATGCAAGGATTATTATTATTGTGTCTCATTTTAACTAATGTTTACCTACACTTTTTGTCTGTTTACTCGAGTGCACTAAAATATTTCTGCTTTAATAATCCTTGCATTTGATACAGCGCCTTATCACGTCTTCGGGACATCTCAAAGCGCTTCACAGAAGATACAGTAAAGTGAACTTACAATATTTTGAACACGGCAGCCAATTGCGCACAGCAGCATCCCACAAACTAGTGGTTTAAGTGACCAATTTATTATTTTTTAACCTCCTTTTCTTTAGATAATCTCGAATCTGTATATCATCTGGTACAGCTCCTGTGGAAACTTGAAAGGAAGCAGGAAGCTGCCTCTTGTTGGCTAAAATTCCACAGTTCTGCCACAAGAGCATCAGACTCAGGAAAAAAGGGATATTGTGATCCTTTAACGTAAGTAAAGATAACTACAACATTTTTAGGTCCAACTGAGATTCTATTTGAACCAAGCACAACCCCAACCCCAAAGTTTTTTTTTCTTTAAATTTAGAAACATCGTACCTTTGACCCATTCTGCCTTCCCTCACCTATGGAAGATTGTTCACCTCTGCCACTACCTCTCCCCTCAGGCCGCTGTGGAGTCCTGTAGCTCAGTGGTTAGAGCACTCGCTTTGCAAGCGAGAGACCTGAGTTCAATTCCAGGCAGGGTGAAACCTTGGGCAAGTTTCCTTACTCCACACGCCTAATAATAATCCCTCCAAAAACCCAAAACAATAATAAATTGGTCATTTTCAATCTACGACTGTTTGTGGGACATTGCTGTGCGCAATTGGCTGCCGCGTTCGCCCACAAATATACAGTCAATTCACTTTACAGTGTGTTCTGTGAAGTGCTTTGGGACGTCCTCCTGACGTGAAAAGCGCTATATCAAATGCAAGGATTATTATTATTATTATTAAAACCCTTATCCAAGCTTTCAATCACATCCACCCTTGACTATGCTAACTTCCTGCTTGCCAGACTTCCCAACTCGCCCTCCACAAGCTACAGATAATTCAGAACTTTGCAGCTTGTGTCCTCTCCTACTCCAGGCTCCGTGAATCTATTACCCCACCCTCGCCCGACCACTGGATCTCCAGTCCCCAGAGGATCAAGTTGAAGATCCTCGTCCTCACTTTTAAAGCTCTCCATGGTCTTGCTCCTCCCTACCTCTGCAACCTGCAGAGGTACTGACAAGCAGGACCATGGCTAAAACGTTACCAACCAAACCATTGCTCGGCAGGCACTGGCCTGCCCCACCATCAGCGGTCAGGCCTTCAGGCTCAGTGCCCCTACCTTCTGGAACTCAAACTCAGAGTCACTTTGGCTCCCTTCCCTTGCCTCCTTCAAGGTTCATCTTCCTCTTTAAAATTCCTTCCAGCAATTACCTCCCAAACCTGTTTCCTCATAAGCTGTTAAATGAACATCTGCCTTTGATGTGGTGAAAATCACCTATAGGACAGCTTATGACATGCCAGCCACCTTGATGTTCTAGAGGGCCAATTTAAATGTCATTTACAAGGCTTACTCATGTGCAACTGCTGAATCCAGGTTCTCATACAAATGGCTTAGTGAAGATTCACACCTGCCATGAAGCCAATTTGCCCTGTAGGGTGATGGTGAGTGATGGATCAGTTCTGTCCCCCTCAGAAGCCATTTATCACACATCCACTTAAAATCACCAAATCCACCGCAAATCACCCAAATCTTATTTTTTTCCAGAAAACTTCCTTTATTTCTCATTTCTCACTTGAAAGAAGTAACCAGTTCAGAGGAGGATGACTTTACTAAAAAGATACAGATGTACAACAGCCACTGGACTGAAGATCAACAAACTATACAATTTCTAAGACCCATACCTTCCTCTTTGGAAACTTTGTGAACTGTCCAGAACTCTTTCAAGAAAAACTGTGGACAATGTAGTGAAGGAACAGTTACATAACCAGAAAGAAGACTTGAATGTGTAATTGAATGACATCCAACAGATAAGTGTTTCCATAACTTACCCAGGACCTGATCTTTTTGTGAAGAAGGATTATTATCATTATACTTTATGCAGCAGAGCTGAAAAATAAACAGTCTTGAAGTAACTACAATAGCTGCACCAGATACAAGTACATTTTGTTGCTTTGAAGCAACTTTTTAAACCTACTTATTAAGTTGAATGAGCCAGTTTGAAATTGTTATAAGCATTTTTATAAATTTATGTTTGTTTATTAAATCCCAAATTACACTGTCTGAAACATGCAGATTATCCTAAGTTTCAAAGAGAACTATCTCTCTGTCTCTGACTCTCTTGTGTATATATATATGTGTATATATAATACATGTACTGTATATGTATTAAGAAATGACATCTCTGTATAAAAATAGGTGTCACTGCTCAAGGTTTACTAATAAGAAGTGACAAACGACTGTTTGTGGGACACTGCTGTGTGCAATGGGCTGCCACGTTTCACCCACAAAATATAAATTCAATTCACTTTACAGTATATTCTGTAAAGCGCTTTGAGACGTCTTAAAAAGACGTGATAGGGCGCTATATCAATATGATATTAGTGCCTTAGCATGTTACCAAAACATCTCGAACCCCTTCCGTATGATTTTACTGTAAAGTGTAGTGACTATTTATAAGAGACTGAAGCAGCTGATTTGCGCACAGCAATGATGAGAATAGATTTCACCACAATTTATTAATGACATTTTAGTGTCTTAGAGAGTTCTGACAATTTAAATTTGTGTTGTGACTCATTTCTGTCAACTACATCAGATCTAAATTACAAAATCACCTTATGATTAAATGCTCATGGAGATTTTGAAATTGAACATAGACATTCTACATTATTCATCACTCTCTGTAAAGTAGACTGGATCATTGCAGAAAACAAAAACATTTTAGATTATTCCTTGGTCAGCAGAGTAAATTGCATTCTGCCCTTTCCCACTGGGGACCTCTTTATTTCTTATTTATTTTCCAGTTCATTTAACTCTTATGAAATGTTTTAAAAAGTTTTTTTTGGCAACTATGGAGTTCTGTAGTTCAGTGGTCAGTAAAGTGCTCTGGGACCCTACCCAGCGTGGAGGGTGTTGTATAAGTGCTTGTTGTTTTTGGTCATGGAGTCCTGTAGTTCAGTGGTTAGAAAACTCGCCTCGCAAGCGAGAGACCTGGGTTCGATTCCCTGCAGGGCGAAACCTTGGGCAAGTTTCCTTACTCCACACACCTAATAATGCCTCAAGAAAAAAAATAATAATTTGGTCATTTCAATCCACGACTGTTTGTGGGACACTGCTGTGCGCAAATGGCTGCCACGTTTCGCCCACAAATATACAGTCAATGCACTTTACATTATATTCTGTGAAGCGCTTTGAGACGTCTAGAAGACATGCAATGCATCAAATGCAAAGATTATTATTATTTAGGATTATTTATATTCATATAATTTTTTTTGTTCAATTTTAGTAATTCATCCATTGAAATATCTCAGTTATCTCCTGGTGCCTGAACTCTGAATGTTGTATAACTTTCAGTGATCCTGATAAGATAGTATTTCACCACTACAATAGTTAAAATTGATCAGATATTCAACATTTTGGGAATATGCTGACATAAAAATTCAGAATCTAATCTGTTTTCAAGGTGTAGAAATAATGATTGTGTACCAGCTGTTTGCATTGGGTGTCAGCCACATATCCTGAAGACACTATGCTTGCACATGTAAATGGATGAATGCTTTTACATAATAGAAATGTAGAGTGAAGATCCAATGCCATGATAAAACAGTGAGTTATATCAAGTGTTCTGTACGCACAAGACTTTAGGCTATAATAGCTAGAATTATAATAACAGCTATTTATAATAAAATAATCCTTGCATTTGATATAGCACTTTTCATGTCAGAGGACATCTCAAAGAGCTTCACAGGATTTACTGTAAAATGTACTGACTGTAGGCGAAAGTCGTAGCCATTTGCGCACAGCAGTGTCTCACAAACAGTTATGAAGTGAAACACCAATTTTATTTGGAGGATTGCTAACAGGGACACTCCCTTTTTTGAATTGTACAGTATCGTGGAATCATTAACATCCACCTGAACAGGCAAACAAACTCTACATTTCTATCACTTTAATGTCTCACCCGAAAGACGACACCTCCAACAATGCAGCAACCTCAGCACTGCATTGGACAATTTTGTCAATCTAGACTATGTGACTTCAATGTCTTGACGTGTGGATTGAAGCCCAACTCTCTAACTCAGAGGCAAGAGTCGTACTAACTGAAACAAGCTGACATCTACTAAGTATATATTTCTCCAACTGTATTTATAGCTGTCAAATATTATGTATTGGTAATGTTTACACTATCCTATGTAACCTTTTGAAGTTATAAAACAACACTTAGCTTCTTATGAAGTTTGGAACACTGAGGGAAATTATTTAGCATACTTTGTTAATGATTGTTTAAGCAAATGATTGTTGTCTCATTGGGAACTCAAAAGTTCTATGGTAATATTTTTACTTGCCACAGCTTCACATGCAACATCTACGTGCAACAATTGCTTGGTGTGTTTTCAACAAATTGCATTTATATAGTGCTTTTCAGGTCGGGAGGACATCCCAAGACGCTGGACAGTCAAAGGTTTGCAACCGAGCTATTGACTGGAATCAAGAGGGGTGGAGGACAAGAGGATAGTGTTGGAAAGATGACCAAAGTCACAGTTGAAGAGGAAGGTCTTGAGTCAGGACTTGAAAGAGGCAAGGTGGAGGTACTCGGGATGGAGTTCAAGAGAGTAGGTGCAGAAAGGCTAAAGACTGACCTCTGATGGTTGTGCAGGCAGATGGGAGCGTATGGAGCAGGCCAGTAAACCCTGAGCAGAGGGAACGGACAGGTTGGTAGGGTTTTAGGAGGTCACAGAAGTGTAGGACGAATCAAGACCGTGGAGGATAAGCTTTAAAGGTGAGGACAAGAATTGTCAACTTGACATTATCCATAAGTTGTACAAAGCTTAACTTAATGGTCAAAATTATTAACCAAGTGACAAAGTTATCAGGAGTTTACTGTCGCTCCATCTGGACATATGTGCCTTAGTCCTGGGTTCAAATCTGACTTTTTTCTAGTGGTTATGGTTATCAAATTCCAACCTTGGTGGCCATATTTTACTGGACCACAGAACAAGTTGGCAACATTTGATCAATAGACAGTTTATGTGGATTAAGTGGCCAAATTATTTTTAAAATTTTTGAAGGAATTATTACCCCTGGAAAAGTGATCCACCAATCGACTCCCAACTGGGTTTCTACTTACTGTTAGGTAAACAGAGATGTGTGGAGTAAGGAAACGTGCCTAAGGTTTCGCCCTGCCTGGAAATGGAACCCAGCTCCTCTCGTTTGTGAGTCGAGTGCTCTAACCAATATGCTCCAGGGTTTCTGGTAATGTTGAGAAAGCACTCTATGTGCTGTAAGCATTAAGGATTAATAGTGACATCTGCTATTTTGGATCCCTGACTTCATTGAAACCACATGTGAGTTACGCCAGTTCACTTGTCAAAATATTTGTTCTGTTCCCCATCTCCCAGTGCAGTAGTATATTTATCTCTCCATAATTTGCATGATGTATTATAATCAATGACCACAATGTCATGTGAAACTCACCTGAAACTGCATTGCTAAAATTTCCTTAATGAAGTTAACCTTCATATATGTTCCTGTACCAACTAAATACAAAACAGTTTAACCTTTTATAGTGGAATTTCTCTCATTGATGGAAGAACCTGCAAATCTCAGGATGTATTAAAACATCAATGTATGTTCAAGTAAACTTTATGCATACATGACGAAGAAGGGTACTGATGAGAGGAACAGGAAGGGTGAAGCTTGTGTGGTATATCACGTACGAGTGGGCCAAATGGCCTGTTTCCATGCTGTATCATTCTATGTAAATAGATTTTTGGTCAGTTAGAAATCTGCTAAAGGATATATAAACCAGACTACAAATGCATACCAACATGTAAATTTGATTGTGTCTGGAATGGAATGTACACTTTCTTCCTGGATTGACTCACCCTGTTTATCTAATTCTAGAAAGTATTATATGCAAATTGCCAAACGCCAGGACGTGAGGACCTCAGTGTGTGATGGGAGTACTGTGGAATTTAACTAGCATAAACTGTAATGTCACTGAAGTTAGCACAGAAGAATGAATGAACTTTTTTGGACACACGTGTCTTATACACAAGAAGCCTAATCTGCATTGAGACTTTACGATCGTTGAAGGGATGAGAACGACCAGAATGCAATGTGCCCTTTCGCAGTATGATCCTAAAGGGCAGTGTCCAAGTAAAAGTTGGTGTTCACCACAACAACAACAACAAGATTTCATTTATAGAGTGCTTTTCACGTCGGGAGGACGTCCCAAGGCGCTGGACAGTTGGGTCGGGACCCGAGCAGGGGGGGAAATGGTCAGGGGGAGGGAAGGGAGGGAGAGAGGAGGGGGTAGAGAGTTGAGAGGGGAGCTGAAGGCTCGGTCAAAGAGAAAACCCGGGATACCAACATGAGGGAGCTGGTCCATTTGCTTTTTAGAGTTTCTGGTAATCTATTTTGCCATAAAATAATAGTCACTTTACAGTACATTCTGCGAAGAGCTTTGAGACGTCTCAACGACGTGATAAGGCGCTGAATCAAATGGGAGGATCATTACGAATTACCGATTACCAAATTTGATCCACGGAGAAGAGGGCAGGGGAGGGGGGGGGGGGGAGAGGAGGGGAAAAGGAGAAGAGGCGGGGGAGGAGAGGGGAGAGGGGGGGAAAAGGAGAAGGGGGGAGGGGGAAAGGAGAGGGGAGGAAAGGAGAAGAGGGGAAAAGGGGAGGTGGGGAGAGAGGGGGGGAAGGGGAAGGGAGAGAGGGGGGAAAGGAAAGAGGGGAGGGGGGAGAAGGAGAGGGGGAGGGAGAGAGATGGGGGGAGGGGAGGAGAGGGGAGAGGGGGAGGGGAGGAGAGGAGGTGAAGGAGAGGGGGAGGAGAGAGGGAGGTGAAGGAGTAGCTCCGCCTCCAATGCTGCTGTGGGGCGGGGCTTGGCCGGTGACGCGGCTGTTGCTGGAGAAGGTTCTGGATTGGGCAGCCTCGTTGTGAGCCTCGAGTGACGTCGGCCTCGCGCTGTGAGACGGGATCCGCAGGAGGAGGAGGTTTTTACTACCGGTGTCGGAGCTCGAGGGTGGCAGCCAGTCAGCGAGCGGCGGCAGAGAGGGAGCGGCAGACATTACACACCGAGCGACGGAGTGACTGGACGAGCAGCGGAGACGGTCGTCTCGTTTGAAGAGCGAAGGAGGAGAAACAAAGCGCGCAGACTCACTCACCAACAATGGCTTCGGGCGGAGAGTAAGCGTTTTCCTCACTCGCTCGGCGACGGGAAGGAAATGGCGTTCTGTTTGCTGTTACCCGACTACCTGTCCCGATAATCCCCCTCCGATACCCCGCTGTTGAAGGCCGGTAGGCCTCAGGCTTTCCCGCTGACACTGCAACGGAGGGAGGGAGGGAGGGAGGGGAAGAAGGGGGTGGTTTGTTTTCTCGTCCCAAATTTTCCTGTGTCATTGGGGCCTAGTTCAGTTCGTGCCTCGTCCTTTCAGTCAAAGGCATTGCCTGCAGCGAAGAGGAGTCCATACATTTTATATATAATATATATATATGTGTGTGTGTGTATCTATATTTATGAGATTTTTTAAAAAAATATATTTTATTTAATAACAAAGATGGTGTCCGGCTCTCCAGCCCTCAGGATCGCTCTCGCTGTCGCCGCCGAAAGGCAGCGAGCGAAACGCTTTGTAATGGTTCCCGGTGATGTTTCTTCGCCAAGTGACGAGGATGACGAGGAGCAATTTTTTTTCGGGCCTAGTGTGTGTGGCCGCGGTGTGTGGGGCATCGCCCCCTCTCCCTCTCTCTTGACGTCTTGTAACCGATCGGGAGAAACTTCACCGACGCCTCACGTTTTAGCCGCATTTTGTCTCGTGCGATGTTATTGGGGGTTTTTTTTTCAAAATTTTTTTTTTAATGGATCTTATAAAGACCGACTCGCCCGTCAGTCTGAATGCACTTCACCGCCCGGAGTGACACTTTGCGTTTTATTTTATTGATGTTTTTTGATTGATTATTAATGGTTTAAAATCTTCCCACCGGTCACATGGTGCACCTCTATATGCTGACGTTGCTTGAAAGGGTGCATTTTAGGACTCGATCTCGATGTGTAGCCTGATTTTTTGTGTGTGTGGGGGCGGGTGGTAGAATGAAGACAAAACGAAACAAAATACATTGCCACGTTAAGAGGTTTCCGTTGCAGCCCTGAATTAGCGATATTTTATATTTGACCATCTTGCTTTGACTTTTTTAGGTTGATATTGATGATGATCTTAAACCATTGCCCAGAAAAAAAATGTGTGTAGAGTTTTGGTCTGCATTGGAGCATCACGCCATGAGTGTAAAATATGCAATATGATAGAAATAACCATGTACGTGAAACGGTCAGTGACCTAACCAGATCCAATGGGATTCTAGGCATTTTGGTTACATCATCTGGGAGAGGCAAGGAAAGATTTCGGGTTTTTCACGCTTGTGAATTAAATGCCAAGATTTCTCTTAGGCACGTAAATTATTACGTGATCAATATATAAAACAAGGAAACTGAAGACTATTTTAATATACTGAGGCTGCTGGAAAATTGTGAAAAGTAAAGATGAACCAAATGGGCACAGTGACAGACGAGCCTAACAATGGTCTTCTAATGGTGGATGTAGCTGCACCTAGTAAGACAAAGTTGTTTATTACCTGAAGTAAAAACAGTTCTATACCTGTATAGAGATGTTTACTTCAGATAATAGCTATTTCTACTTCAGATAATATGAAAAGGTTAAATGTTTTGGCAGTATGACCTCCATCCAAACTGGGATTGGGTGAGACATATCGCTAGCTTTTCTACTTTGAATTATGGTGGTCACTTCAGTGTTTTCTTTTCTGCTTATTGAGCTGACTACCATCTTGCCTGAAATTGAATCAAGTTTCATGCTTCCAAAATATAGTTCATCATTGAATTCACCAAAATTTCTACCTAACATATTTGAGTAAATTTGCTGTGATATTATCGGTAACTTATACACACTGATTTTGCAGGACATTAAAGACCCACTGCTAATTTGGGCATTTGGAAAAGCAGGTCCTTTAGAATTGCATGTATAGAGGTACCATGCTGGAGCTCAGCCTATTGCTGCCACAAAATTCATGCACTACAGCCTTTACTGTCAACAGAGTCCTCATAAAGTACTAGTCAACAATTTGAAAAGGTTACTGTGAACATTAACATTTCTTTATACAGATTAGATTGCAATTGTGATATTTATTTTTACTGACTGATTGAAGAATGAGTTACAAATCAGCCAGTCTGTCATTCTAATGCACATAGTCTTTCTAATTCTATTTTGAAACTTATAATGGTATGAATAGTGCGTAATGGAAAGGAAAATGTCATTGAAGAAGTTCTATGTAGATTGAACTGATGATGGCTTACCCATTCGACTGAAGACAGCAGTAAGAATGAACTTTTTTTCTTACACCAAGTAGATTTAGTTCTGCTCCAGAGGTTTATTTTTTTTTGCTTATCATTGTGAGATGAAAGTTTGCTGTAACACCGCCTTTAATTATGTCATGTGAGTGTCCATTGAAGCATCCCTCAGTTAGTTTTTTTTTAAAAAAAAACAATGCCTAACAATCCAGCTGTATGACAAATGGTAACAAACAGTTTTACTCAAGGGTGCAAAGGGTAGATTGCAAAATCATGGTCCCACCAATGCTTTTTCACATACCCATGAAGACCACTTTACTCATATTCATTTGCACATGCCCTTTTCTTAGGGAATAGCACCTGTGAAGTTATGTTTTAAAAGTCATGGATCTTTGAAAGGTTGAATATTGATATATGAGGTGAATCGGGAGGGTCGAGAGCAATTCAGGAGGTTGAGAGAAATACTTGTAACACTCATAATTATGGGCAAAAAATGCCTAACCTTGTAAATTTTCCAAATCTTATTTGTCCATTTTATCTTTGTTTTTACCAGACCCACGAAAAAGGAACTAAAATAACTTTTCAAAGGCATAACTGGTAAAATGAATAGACACATGGCAGATGAGGTTTAATGCAGAGAAGTGTGAGGTGATGCATTTTGATAGGAAGAATGAGGAGAGGCAATATACAATAAATGGTACAGGTGTAAAGGGAGTACAGGAGCAGGGAGACCTGGGGTTTCACATACACAGGTCTTTGAAGGTGATAGGACAGGTTGATATAGCTGTTTGTAAAAACAAAAGCATATTAGATCCTTGGCTTTATATATAGAGGCATAGAGTAGAAAAGCGAGGAAGTTTGCTATATCTTTATACATCATTGGTTAGGCTTCAGCTGGAGTATTGTGTTCAATTCTGGACCCCACACTTTAGGAAGGATATCAAGGCCTTGGAGAGGGTGCAGAGGGAATTTACCAGAGTGGTACCAGGGATGAGAGACTTCAGCTTTGTGGAGAGACTAGGGAAGCTTTGATTGGAGCAGTGAAGATTAAGGGGAGATTTAATAGTGGTGTTCAAAATTATGAAGGGTTTTGATAGAGTAGATAGTCAGAAACTGTTTCCACTGGCCAATGGGCCAGTAACCAGGGCACTTAGATTTATGATAATTAGCAAAAAAAAACGGAGGGGACGTGAGGAGAATTTTTTTTACAGAGTTGTTACGGTCTGAAATGCACTGCCTGAAAGGGTGGTAAAACAGATTCAATTACAACTTTTAAAAGGGAATTAATTGAAATAATTGAATATAATTGAAAAAGAAAAATTTGCAAGGCTATGGGAAAAGAGCAGGGGAGTGTGACTGATCCAGTAGCTCTTCCGAAAAGCTGGCACATAACATGGCCTGTGCTGTTATATTCTATGATTCTATGATAACTGTTGTGTGTAAGTGTGTGTGGTCATCTGTGTGCTTTAGAATCTTTGTTCAATCCATGATCTGTGCTGAGTTAGTTGATTTCAGCTGGCAAGGGAGGGGGAAACATTGAATGATTCTGCTTCTGTTTGATGCCCAGTAATCCCCATTGGAACAAGTACAATCGCACATGGACCTTGAATGAGGACGTGACGCTGGCATGCTCTCCATTGTTGATGCTTGTGCATAAAGAATGAATGGTTGATTGACTGTGGAATTAGTTAACAGCATCCTCCCTTTATTTTGAGATAATTTGGAAGTGAGGGTAATTACAAATATTGCTGATAATTTTGCACTTTTTTAATGAGATTCTTGAACAAATATCACGCTGAACGGCATGTCTCAAAACGCCTTTGACTGCTCTTTCATCTTTCCCCTCCCCACTCCCCCTGGTTTCCACCCCCTCTTGGGTACATTGTGAAGCCTTTGAGACGTCTTCCTGTCAGAGATGCTATATAAATGTAAATTTTATGGAAAGGAGAATTTAATTTTTAAAAAAGCTAAAGGATCAAGACCTGAATGGTAAAGCTTGTTGGTTTATCAAATTAGTTGTTTTCAGGATTTTTCTTTGCTGATATTCTATAGGTAGGTGAAGTTTGTATGATCAAGTGCAAGCATTGGCAGTAAATAAAGCAGGCACATGCACTCTATGAATTTGCCAAATCAATTGCCAAGTCTATCTGAAATGCCTAGATGTGAAGCCTGTTGGTGTTCACTGACCGGAGGGACTAGCTGGAGGAATAGGATTGCAGGAGGTCCCAGAGGCAGGGCCATTGAAAGGGTAGCCTTGATAATATTTCCTTGTATGGAGAGTAATCAATAGCTGAAATTGGATCATCAGGTCACTGAGCTCGGGCATTGGACGCTTTTAAGCAACTACTATAGTGTGAAAGGCTGTTCTCATCCAAAGCGCAATCTGCTGAAGGTACTTTCACTTCCTTTCCTCCTCATCCCTGCCCTCCTTTTTTAATGCATGGGCTCTGCTGGTCTGCCAAATATATTGTTTTCAGGATTTTTCTTTGCTGATATTCTGTAGGTTTATCTCTGGCATGATTTCACATATACATGTTGCTGGGATTCCTTGCGTATTATGTGTTCCTGGGGTTCCATGTATTCATTATTACGTGATCCTGATTATTTACAGCCGAGTATTTTGAATTTAGCCTGTTAGAACATTCTAGCCAAGCCAGATCCATCCTTGCCTCGCTTGAGACCACGTGCACATTCCAGCAGAAATAGAACTCTATTTGTTCTCTCCTGTTCTTTCCTAATCTGTTTGCAAGGCAATGTTAGCACATCTTGTAGACCATGTTATTCAGATCAGGTGAGACTGTCCTGGTTTGTTTGGCACAACTACTTAACAAACTCATTGAATCACTGGGAAAGCCCAGCAGTTTCAGTTGTAATTTTTCAGAAAATATGGCAAGTCTCCAGGACTAGTTATTCAATGCCACAATTAGAATTATATGTTTTCTACTTTGCCGCTTTTGGTTAGTTATGATCACGTCATGTAAACATGCCAAAGCACTTCACAGGATTTACTGTGAAGTGGAGTGACTGTGGAGTCCTGTAGCTCAGTGGTTAGAGCACTCGCTTTGCAAGCGAGTGACCTGAGTTCAATTCCAGGCAGGGTGAAACCTTGGGCAAGTTTCCTAACTCCACACAGAGCCTAATAATAATCCCTCCAAAAACAATAATAAATTGGTCATTTTTAATCTACGACTGTTTGTGGGACATTGCTGTGCGCAATTGGCTGCCACGTTCGCCCATAAATATACAGTCAATTCACTTTACAGTGTGTTCTGTGAAGCGCTTTGGGACATCCTCCCGATGTGAAAAGCGCTAAATCAAATGCAAGCATTATTATTATTGGTAGCTAAACGCAGCAGCCCAATTGCACACAGCAATGTCTCACAAACCAGCATGAAACAATTGACCAATTTTTATTTTGGGAGGTTGGCTTGGACACCAAAGGAAACTCCCTTCACTTTTCAACTAGTATCGTGGAATCTTTAATGTGCACCTGAACAGGCAGACTGGACCAAAAGATGGCATCTCCAAAATGTAACACCCCCCCAGCACTGCAAAGGAGTATCAGCTTAGACATGTTTCGACATGGGAACCAACAACCTTCTATAAATGATTCCTATAAATTTCAAATACATTGATTTTTGGGAGGCATTATGTAAGATTCCATTTAAATATTTGCTAAAATTAAGACATGCAATCCAATTGCATGAATAAGAGATTGGGTGAGATTGCTGCATATCCCTACCATTGAAAGGCAAACATTCAGTCACTTTGCCCCCACTCTCTGGAACTCTCTCCATCCACAAATCTCTTGAAGTAGCTACTCAGCTACCTGGAAGGAGAATATACTGTTTCAAACATAAGAGCAATGTTATAGCTTTCCATTGTTCTTGCTCCAGCTTTGTTCTACAATACCAAGGTTTAAGACTGGATATAGAAGTTGATCATGATTTGATTACAACTCTCTCGAGATGTTATCCTACATGAAGGACGCTATATAAAAGTTCTTGTTGATTGGTACTATTCAGCCTTTTTGCGTGATTTAGAACATGACCAAATGCAAGTACAGACATTTATAAATCTTCATGCAATGTAAAAAGTAAAAGCTTGTGAGGTCCAGGTGTTCATTGGCATTTTGTTTATTGGGTATTAACCTGCATTGCTCTTGTATGTGGTTGGCTTGCGCTCTCTATTAGAGGAAACAAATTTCCAGGTGCAAGTTATATGATGCAATTTTTGGGTGAGAGGGTAGAAGTGGACAACTAGTTTATATATTTACTATTTCAAAGATTCTGAGCTTCAGGGTTATGAAGATGAGTTATTTCCCAAAATAATATTTTGACAGAGTGCAGAAAGTAGACTGCATATTTCAAGGAATTGTTTTTTCTACGTGATTAATGGACTATCTAATGTTCCAAAGTTTTATAAGATGAATGAAGACATTTATAAATTGTAATTAATTCCTGCAAATTAACACTTGGAAAATTTTATCCAACCAATACATATTAACCTCTTAATCATGGTGGTCTTTGAGTGAAATTGGGTGCTCTACCAAATTAATTCAGTTGGATATAAATTACGCAATTGGTTACTGTAAATAATACGTTATTGTTTTATAGAAGCAAAGCTGATGACTTATCAACTGCAATTCTGAAGCAGAAGCATAGGCCTAATCGATTAGTTGTTGATGAAGCAATCAATGAAGACAACAGTGTGGTCTCACTGTCTCAGGTATGCAAATTATGGTACATATTGAACATCACCCTTATGTTTTTTTCTCCAATGTCTAAAGTTTTGCTCAAACGTGCAAAATAATGCATTCCATCAAGCTGAAATGAGCTCAAAGCTTTCATTCGGGGGCACCATTTTAGGATTAATGTGATCAACTGCCAGTGTTTCATCTCTCCAGAAAAGTATTGGAAGCAAGAAAATTACTTTCCCAAATGGCCAAGAAAATCCTCTGCCCTTTTCCACAAAATTTCAATCAAAAGGCTTCTACCAGAGAATATCTTTTCCAGATTTGCTTTGTGAACTGAACCTATGAACCAAATAATTGCACATATATAAAATATATATATCAGAACTGCCAATAGTAACACAAATAACTTTCCACAGTGCTGTAAAGTTTGTTTGAAGTTATTTTAATTTTAACAGGCGAAGATGGATGAACTTCAGCTTTTCAGAGGGGACACCGTGTTGCTGAAAGGAAAAAAGAGGCGAGAAACTGTTTGCATTGTTCTGTCAGATGATACATGTTCTGATGAGAAGGTTCGCATGAATAGAGTTGTGCGTAACAACTTGAGAGTCAGATTGGGTGATGTTGTCAGGTAAGTAATCTTCTGCTTTCAAATTCCGAGTGAAGTCCTTCACATTTTTTCATGTGAGATGTCTTTAGGAAGCAAGAGTAATTCAGTGTATTGTTTTGTTCTTAGCATTCAGCCATGCCCAGATGTAAAGTATGGAAAAAGAATCCATGTGCTTCCTCTTGATGATACAGTGGAAGGCATTACTGGAAACCTGTTTGAAGTCTATCTCAAACCATATTTCCTGGAAGCTTATAGACCAATTAGGAAAGGTAAGGTATAGAATTAAACATTTTCATAATGCAGGCTTTCAATATTTAAAACTCGACACTTTTTTGGGGAGGGTGGGAAAAAAAATTTCAAAACAAGTCCCCACAGCAGCCCTTTTCAAGTTCCACTTAGTTTGATGGAATTTCGGACAAAGAAACCAGAAATATATTTGGATCTCATCTGGATTTTAGAAAGATTTGCAGAATTGTGAACGAGCTGATCTTATTTTTTAAAGGTGATATTTTCTTGGTTCGTGGTGGAATGCGTGCTGTGGAATTCAAAGTGGTGGAAACTGATCCAAGCCCATACTGCATTGTTGCCCCTGATACTGTCATTCATTGTGAGGGTGAACCCATCAAACGAGAGGTAACATTTTAAGTTCGTATGGTTTTACACCCATACAATCTTCAACTGGTACAAGAGAGCAAAGTATCTAGTCATATGTAAGTATTACATTTCTGTGGAAATGTTTTAAGTTTTAAAAAAAAGTTCAACAGTGTATGACCATTGTAAAACCAGCACTGTGGGAGGACAACTACTATCATGAACAATGCTGTGGAGATAAGCTACTCCTCAAGGGAGAATTCTTGACAAAGAACATGATTTCACAAACATAGAACTGCAGTTACTGAATCAATTACAGCATCCCAAGAATACTACAGCCAGAGAACCAATAGAGAAAAACAAATACGTCATCTTATAATTATCCCCATATTATATCATTCAGTGCACTTTTTCAAGATTAGGAATTGTTTTTTTGTTGCTGAGTTGTTTGTCTGGAAAAGAGCGGTTTGTTGAATCTTCATTCTTTTTTACTTCATTTGGCATCTGCTATCTTGTTCGGTGCCTTTATGACTCCAGACCAAATAGATTGTTTGGATTTTAACAACTTGAAGCCCTCGGTTTAAAGTAATTGTTTAATTTTAAGGATGAGGAAGAATCGTTGAATGAAGTTGGGTATGATGATATTGGTGGTTGCAGAAAGCAACTGGCTCAGATCAAAGAAATGGTGGAGCTCCCTCTTCGTCATCCTGCACTTTTCAAGGCTATTGGTGTCAAGGTAAGAGCCCATATATTTTTCCTCATTTATGTTCTACCTATTTGAATCTTTAAAATTGCAGTATTTTACTTTTATTTAATTCCTTGATTATCATAGTAGATAATTAAGGAATACTTTGACCGGCAAATATCATCAAGGGCTATTGACCGTCCTTGGTGGTGGGTTTGGGGGGGAGAGGTGATTGCTTGGCAATGGAAAATCAGATTCTTATCAATTCTCCACAGTGGTTTTGGTAGTTCAGCATTTTAGCCAGGTCTACAGAACTCTGACGCACTGTTGATGATTGCCCAACTAACCTGGCTATTTAGAGTGACTTGGTGGAGCAGACCAGTGGATGGGAGCTGGGATTCTTGCATCCCAAGTCCTAAGGGATGGGATGGTTCTGGCTGAAAAAGCAGCAGGGATCAAACAACATTTGCAATCTTGAACTGTGTGATATTTTTCACTAGATTTAGGGAGTCGGCCTGTCTCAGTAGCACTCCTGCCAAGTGGGTCAAAAGGTTGTGGGTTCAAGGCATGTGTTGAGGACTAGGAGCTCCTGGTCTGAGCTAACACTGTAGGACAGTGTTGGTGGCGTGCTACATTCCAGGAGGTGCTATTCTTTAGCTGGGACATTATACTGAGGTAATAAGTGAGCATTAAAAAATCCATGATGCTATTGAAAGGAGTTTCTCCTGGTGTCTTGGGTAATGATTGTCTTGTTAAATTGGTCATTGGCTGTTTAGAACATTGCATAGGAATATAAAGTCTATATTCCATTTTGCCCACTTTCTGATTGCTCAGGCCTAAATATAGTATAGCCCAACATCCGAGAATAAATATGAATATTATTCGAGTAAACCCTGAACGAGATTGCCATTAGGGTTACAGTTCCGCATCCACAGAGGTAAAAGAACTGTGTCTACAATAACCAAGCCCTAATCTTAGTGATTATTTAATGCTTTAATCTTTAACTTTGTTTGATGAGACCATTCTTCTTTTATGTTTAGCCTCCACGTGGCATTCTGCTGTATGGCCCCCCTGGTACTGGAAAGACCCTGATTGCTCGAGCTGTTGCAAATGAAACTGGTGCATTTTTCTTCCTTATAAATGGTAGGCATTTGTTTTTATTTTCAAACTTTTTTTGTATATTTTACCGTTTTGTGTGTGTAAAATGGTTTTCTTTCGACTGCAGTCGAGGAATCAAATGGTTCTTGATTTCATAATGTTGGATGCATAGATTATGGGTATACATAAATTCTGGTTACATTGAGTTTAGGATTGGATAATCTAGAATTGTTCTAATTGCTCAGTTTCAGTGGCTATAAATTCATATTTTTAAAACCTAATTTGGCAATATAATGGCTGAGTTGGATCCTGCATAATTGTGAGCAACTGTCATTGTGTTGCAACCATGGTTGCTGCAGGGGATCTTGTTTACTTTGTGAGATTAGTTAAGATATCCCTGTGGTCTTCAGTTCATATGCAGTTTGTAAAGACATGTTTCCCATTAAACTGGGACTTCAGTTAATTTCTCCTTTGAAACCGGTTCTAATCAAGTTCACCATTTGTAAGTTATGTTTTCAAAAACAGACTAAGATGCTGATAGCCTCTAAAGATTGTGTTCTGGTGCTTACTTATTGAAGTGTTGATGGTGAGCACAATGCTAAACTGAGTTAAGATCTGCTCCCTGCAATGACCCACTGAATTAAACAAGTTGGAAAGGTTATAACTTTAATTTTTTTTCCTGATTAGGTTGGTTTTGTTTTTCACTTGGGTGAAAATCAAAATCAACAATAGTTTGCCCCACTGTTCCCATCTTCAACAAGGCAACATGCTCTAAGACTTCTGCTTTTGACTACTCTAGTGATCTGCTAGAAACTGTATAATGATTGGACTTGACTGTCCCTGCTGATACTGCCCAGGTTTATACATTATAAATGAAATAGCCTGTCAAGATCTGGAACTCACGTGAGACAATTGCTTCAGATGAGGTATGAAGTCCATTATTTTTAAAATTTTACGGAATATATGGTAATCTTAGAACAGAGGTCAAGTGTTTCCTGGCAGATTTGTGTTTCTCCTTCAGAGTAGAAATAGAGGGTAGTGGCACAGCAATAGTCAACTACAGTTTGTGGCACAAGGTGAATAGGAGAATTTAGAAACTACATTTTGTGGTTCAGGATTTGACACCCTTTATATGTGGAGAAAAACAAGGATTGAGGTGAACAACTGCATAAGGTTGACAAGATACTAATTTGCTTCTTTACAGGACCCGAGATTATGAGCAAACTTGCAGGAGAATCTGAGAGCAATCTGAGAAAGGCATTCGAAGAAGCTGAGAAAAATGCTCCAGCTATCATTTTTATTGATGAACTGGATGCCATTGCTCCAAAGAGGGAGAAGGTTGGTTCTAATTGTGATGCAAAGTTAACTTATACTATTGTTTCAAATGTACTTCTGATGGCCAATCCCTGAATTACCATATTGATGACTTTATTTGTCACAGAAATAACAGTAAGACTCCCATCATATCAGTCAGGACTATAACATTTAGTATGACTTGCGTGAAGTCTGACTTTTAAGCAAACTTATTTAAGCACTTAACATCCAATTTAATGAATCTATGTTGCGCATGCATAATTCAGTGGAACCAGTAAGTGCATGAGCGACACTTCGTCACTGCAGCTGGTGAGTGTGCAAAGGGTCAAGACTATGTTTCCCACAATTCAATGTGTCTTGACTCGTTGCCGTATGAGCCTTGGCATCGCGGCACGTGCAGAGGAACTTCCAAGACTACGATAGATCAAGACTACTTTTCCCACAATTCAATGCAGCGACAAATGCAGCCTATCAAATGTGACTCATGCAAAGAAATCCAAGTGGTTTTGATAGGAAACTGAATGAGATTTGAGTGCATGTACAATTTAGGCAATTATATGTTTTATAAAGATAAGATTAATGCGAGTTTTACTCAAAATACTCTTGACTTTCTGTGTATGAGCTATTTAATCTAGCAGCTGCATTGAAACTAAAGTCTAAGTAGCCTATAATTAACTGGAGTAGAATGAAATAAGTGTTTCCAGCAAACTTTGGGAGGGGTGAATCTTTCTACTGAACAAAAGTACTTCGAAGCAACATTGAATGCTGAATAAATAGTATATTATCTTTATATTGAGTTATCCATTGAGTAGAGACCAGAAGCTTTTAGAATGAGCCTTTATGGCATTGAAGCATGATGACACTGTTGCGGGTAACATGCCTATGCTCGACTATAGCAGCTTCGTGGCCAGGGGGAGGTGGGCAGGAGGAGGAAGACGCTTGCACCTCAAACAAAAAAACCTCTGTGTACAAAAATGTACCTCTTGCTGACCTAATTTAGTCCTGTAGCTCAGTGGTTAGAGCACTCGCTTTGCAAGCGAGAGACCTGAGTTCAATTCCAGGCAGAGGGTGAAACCTTGGGCAAGTTTCCTTACTCCACACAGAGCCTAATAATAATAATCCCTCCAAAAACAATAATAAATTGGTCATTTTCAATCTACGACTGTTTGTGGGACACTGCTGTGCGCAATTGGCTGCCGCGTTCGCCCACAAATATACTGTCAATTCACTTTACAGTGTATTCTGTGAAGCGCTTTGGGACGTCCTCCCGGCGTTAAAAGCGCTTTATCAAATGCAAGGATTATTATTATTATTAACTGCTTTTTAAACTTAATTACCAAAAAAAAATAGGTGGGAAAGTAAGCACCTCAGCAATCAAATTTGTTTTTGGAAAGCTTACTGAAATTCTATTTGGGTATCTGCTGGTAAATGAGTACGATACACTAGTAGTAGCTAAATTGGATTAAAAATAATTTCTTGTACAGTGTTATTTTTTATCTAGTCCCCTCTGTGTCTGTTCAAGGCTGAAAAAACTAACTGTGTTCCTTGTAGTTTACTTTTCATTATGGTCCAGTCTTGTTGCTCTCGTCTGTGCCAGCATTGTACGGGGAAGGGGTGCTGCATTGTCAGTTGAGACCTTAAACAGTATTTTAAGAGGGTTATCTTCAAAGATTAACAAGCTAGTCAGAAAATAATTGAAGACAAATCATTCCAGTCTGATGTATGGTTTGCTATATGCAATCAAATTCTAATCAGCTATTTGTTCCAGAAAGTGCATTGTGTGTAAGTTGCTACTGATCGGATCAGCTAATTATTCTGTTTTCCAATTGTAGACTCATGGTGAAGTGGAACGTCGTATTGTGTCACAATTGCTGACTCTGATGGATGGTTTGAAGCAGCGAGCTCACGTGATTGTTATGGCAGCTACAAACCGGCCAAATAGTATTGACCCAGCTCTTCGACGATTTGGTAGGTTGATATTTCTGTTTAAATTTCAGTGTGTGATAATGTTTATGTATTTACTAGTAAACCCCTTGGTTTAATCTTCTGTTTTCAGGTCGGTTTGATAGAGAGGTGGATATTGGGATCCCTGATGCCACTGGTAGATTGGAAATCCTACAGATTCACACAAAGAACATGAAGTTGGCAGATGATGTGGACCTTGAGCAGGTTTGTAAATACATTTTTAGTTTGGAATCTAGTTTAGGAAAAAACCTTTACTGTTCACAAAATCAACAGCCTGACTTTGGATAACATTCCAGAATTTTAAATTGAAAGCAGGACTAGCATAACTGACTTTAGATGCAGTACTTTGGGAGACAACCGGTACATCAGTACAATGGCAGGATTATAATATATTGTAAGAGTGATTCAGATGAACACTCATCAGTATGTTAACCTCCCGCCCAGCTATTAGCAATGAGCATTTCTTCAGTCTGGTATCCTGGCTTTAACCACCCTCTGCATAAAATAAATATTTTTGGGGTATCTGTCCTAATGTGTGTGTAATATGGTTATATTAAACTTCTTGATTTGGGATTACCTGCTATTTTTGCATATAAATATGCGTGTGGTGTGGTTGAATTACCCAAATTGTACTGCTGGAGTGAAGGTTTTTGACTAATGAATCACTTTCCTTGTTTTAGGTTGCTAATGAAACTCATGGGCATGTGGGTGCTGATTTGGCTGCCCTTTGCTCTGAAGCTGCTCTTCAGGCCATCAGGAAAAAGATGGATGTTATTGACCTTGAAGATGAAACCATTGATGCTGAAGTTATGAACTCACTTGCAGTTACTATGGATGACTTCAGGGTATAACTATTTGGATTTTATTCTTTGATTATTTTTATAAAGATGCATGTAAAATATTTTAGCTTGCCTTTATAGGATTTAAACTTTTTTTCAAAGTTCTTAGATTCCCAGTTATTATTTTATTATTATTTTAAAATTATCATAATTATGATATCCCATGTTAATTGCATAGTGACCTTTTGTCTTGCACTTAACAAATTTGTGGTAAAAGTTGATGCATTGTTTGCTTGCAGTGGGCATTGAGCCAGAGCAATCCTTCAGCCTTGCGTGAGACTGTTGTTGAGGTGCCTCAGGTGACGTGGGAAGACATTGGTGGATTAGAGGATGTGAAAAGGGAACTTCAGGAGCTTGTCCAAGTATGTTACGTTCAATTTTTAAATAATGATTCTTTTGCAACTTTAGTTATGAGAGTTTGATCACGGGCAGAGTTATATTAATATTCTATCTTGCATGGCAGCACAGTCAAATTTGGGTAATTGAATATCGAATAGTTTGATTTATTTGAATAAAATTTAGAAATCCCAAACTATTTGCACTCCTAATCTAACAATATCTGTTAATTGAATACCAGTTTTACAAATAATTCAAGTCTATTGAATAATTTTCCCTATGACTGTATTAAAAAAATATCTGATTCTGGTTAAATACATAGTCCTAAATCATTACCTTCTACAGGACAGTGTGAATGTTGTCCTCTCCTTCTCATTCACTATAGAGGGGTGCTGGAGATTGGTCAGTTGGCCGTGTGAGTGAGGATGTTTTCCACTTCCAGTGAGGTTGGAAACCACAAGGCTTGAGCTCTGGGAAATGAGTCTCCTCTTATGTTTAGTCCAGTTATATGAATAGTTTGGTTTACTGAGTAATTTTTGCTGTTAAATTCAGTATTTAATTAACAGAATTTCAGATGTAATTCCAGCCCTGTTATGATTGTTTCTACTGGTTGCTGGGGATGAGTCTGATATAGAGAAGCTGATTTGAAAAGTTATTGTTTTCTTTCAACAGTATCCTGTGGAACATCCAGATAAATTCCTTAAATTTGGCATGACTCCTTCGAAAGGGGTTCTGTTCTACGGACCACCTGGTTGTGGTAAAACATTGCTGGCAAAAGCCATTGCAAACGAATGCCAGGCCAACTTCATCTCAATCAAAGGACCTGAGCTGCTTACCATGTGGTTTGGAGAATCTGAGGCAAATGTCCGAGAGATCTTTGACAAGGTGTGTGGCAAAAGTAATTGAAACCCAATTATTTGGTGGTGTGTGGTGGGGGGGGGGGTCGTAGAGGAACATTATAAAAATAGAACATTTTGATAGAGCACATTTTCAAATGCATTCATTGATGTATCTGCCCAGAAAAATTGGAATGCATCATACCTTTATCAGGGAATTCTGCAATCTTAAGATTAGCCGTCAGATTTGAGCTGCACACTGATGGTGAAAAATACCTAATCTCCTAAATCGCAGTAGTTTTATTACTATAACATTAATAAAGAATTTCATCTGATCTGTTGTTTTCACTGGTATGCCCCAGTTTTTATACTCTTGAACTTTTTGCTCTTTTTCTCTGCATTTTGTAGATCACTAGTTAATGCCTGATTTTCTGAATATTTACAATAACACAAGATGGAACCCTTTTCTTTTAGGCCCGCCAAGCTGCACCTTGCGTGCTCTTCTTTGACGAGCTTGATTCCATTGCAAAGGCTCGAGGTGGAAACATTGGTGATGGTGGTGGAGCTGCTGACAGGGTGATCAACCAGATCCTGACTGAAATGGATGGCATGTCTACCAAAAAGAATGTTTTTATCATTGGTGCTACCAACCGTCCAGATATTATTGACCCTGCAATTTTGCGTCCTGGACGACTGGACCAACTGATTTACATACCACTGCCTGATGAAAAATCTCGTGGGGCTATTCTGAAAGCCAACTTGAGGAAGTCTCCAATTGCTAAGGCAAGTCTGATTAGTTATCTTTTAAAACTTATAAGGGCTATAGGAACATAGAAACTAACAACGCAGAAGGATTCCATTTGGCCTATCGAGTCTGCAGTGGCTCTCAGAGCAAGCTAGGTTGTCCTGCTCTATCCCCATATACCTTCAAGCATCTAACTTTCATATTCCTGTATGTTCTTGAAACCTGCAGTAGACTTTGCATCTACTACCTTTCTTGGCAGGGCATTCCATATCCAACAACTCTGGGGGAAAAATTCTCCTTTTGCTCATGTTTGATTTATTGTTTTCATATTTAGTTACCAAGCATTTTACACGACCTTATACATAGTAATTTTATTTGTAATATCTCTTAAACTTGACTTCCCTACAGGAAGTTGATAAGGAATATCTGGCTAAGACCACCAATGGGTTTTCTGGAGCTGATTTGACAGAGATCTGTCAGCGAGCTTGCAAGCTTGCCATCAGAGAATCTATTGAAAGTGAGATAAGACGAGAACGGGAGAGGCAGGGCAATCCTGCAGCTATGGTGAGTACGTATTTGGCAGCCATTTTTATGTTCTCCAAACATTAAAAATCTTATTTATGTTGTGTTTTAAACGAGGCCCTGTCATAGCAAATTGCTTTCAATTCAGGAGGTTGAGGAAGATGATCCAGTTCCTGAAATTCGCAAAGATCACTTTGAGGAAGCTATGCGCTATGCACGCCGGTCTGTCAGTGACAATGATATCAGGAAGTATGAAATGTTTGCACAAACACTCCAGCAGAGTCGTGGATTCGGCAGCTTCAGGCAAGTACTTTTTTTTTTGTATCTTTGATTCTATTCCCCATGTGAAAGGACCTATATAAATGTACATTTGTATTGTATAACTTTTTTGCTGTTCTTAATTCCCAGAGCAAAGTAGTTATGTATTATTGGGCATAACTTACCTGTTTGAGATAAAACTCCTGTATGTTTGTTTAGTTCAGCTGCTCATTTAATAAACTATCTGAGCCATTGGGGATCATATACCATAATTCAAATACATTTGCTTTTGTTTCATTTTGCCATCAACCCTATTTGTTCACAGCTATAATTCTGTAATAATTGACCATTATTTTGGTCAGTGCATGTTAAGCTATGTAAACCAGGAACGTTCAAAATTAACTGGGCTAATGAATACAGAGGATCAATGGAATTCAGTGAATTTCATGTTCCCACAACTGAAATTTGCTTTAAATTCCCCAGATATATGAAATGGACAAACAGGATTCTAACTTTTAATTTTAATAGTAACCCGATTGACGTGCACTTGACAAGATTTTGCTCCCTTATGATTGGCTCCACGTCTAATTAATTTGCCAATACTTGCTGTCCTTGTTAATACTGGGAAAATAGGCATTTAGCATTGAAGACTTTCAAAAACTGTCATTGATTCTTTTTGCTGCATGAATTGCTACTTTGAGGACAGAAAACTGGAAAAGAGAAGTTCTCCAGCCAATCAACAAATACCTGCTTGGGCTGTAAACACTTTCTGTTCCAGTATATACTAAACTTTGGAAAGCATATTTTATCTGTTTTAAGATTTTAACTTTTAAAAATACACTTCAAGGTAAACTGAGCATTGCACAATTTCATATTGTGAAACAAATTTGAGATTAATATTGCCTAAATTGAGATAAATATTGCCTCTTTCAGATTCCCATCTACTGGCCAAACTGGAGCAGGGCCAAGCCAGGGTACTGGGAGTGGAACTGGTGGAACCATGTTCAGTGAAGACAATGATGATGATCTATATGGTTAACCTGCATAGTGGACCAAATCTGACCAGGCCAAGTTGTACAATTTCCATTTCTTGGACTGTTGCTTCTCTCTCTTTCTTTCCCCTCAGTCTAGTCAGAGAAGGGTGTGCAGCTTGTCAGTACTCTGGTACAGGGGTTTCTTCTAATGAACCTATTCTTGATGTTGGATGTGAAGTTAACTGTTAAATCACTGCAAAGTAGTCCATGACTACCTTCTGGGAAACTTCTGTTCTAATTGATGAGGCAGATTCAGCAGCTTTTGCAGTGGATATAACTGTAGCCTGAAAAAATACAAAATGCTTATGGAACTTCATTTTTTTTATTTCAGTAGGTGACATATGATAAATGTACACGTTTGAATAAGACTTGAAATGTTAAGAATCTTAATATGAACTGATATAATAAATACTGAATTGTTGCACCTCCAAAATTAAATGTGTGTTGCCTGAATTTTAAATTGCATTTTCAGGTTCTGCTGTTTGTTGAAAGTAACTTACTGGGTACTTGAGCTTCTGTTTACTCATTGTGGATAAAACTTTTTTTCTGCAATTATTTCTTGATTTCGGTAAAGCATCCATATGCCTCTCAGATTTTTTTAGTAGGAAAATAATTGGGGTGAAATTTTAATGAATGTTTATACGCATGTAAGGTATATAGGTTTATTTACTCCATTGAGTACTTTAAATTTGCTATTTTAAATGGCAGCCACCATTAACTGAAAAATAATCAGTTTCTTCCTTAGTCTGGAATAAGACAAGGCCTCTTACCGAACATTAAAATTTATTTTAAATGTCATTCTATTTGTAAAGTACCTAAATGTACTTTCTGTAGTATTGCTTTCTGCTCTGTTGGGTCAACTAGTGCAATTTGTAATTCATTTTATTCCCACTTTCCTTTCAAATGCCTTTAATGTTTGGACTCGTTACCTGGGCCCAACTTGGCAATGGTTCCTGACTAGATGGCTGTGAATTTAGAATATTTTTATTCTGGGGAGACTTGTGTGAGTTTATTTTCTCCAGGCTACATAATGGTAGATGGAAATGCAATGATTTAATGTATTGTACATACCATTCAAGTTGATGCACATTGTAGCATTAAATGTGTACTTGTGAAAAAATCTCATTGCAAAAATTAGACAATATTAACCAGTCACAAAGTATCTTAATTGGCTTGAAATGTAATCGGGTTAATTGAATATGTAAGGCATTCAACGCTTGCACTTGTATAGCTCATTTCACATAGGATAATGTCATGACACTTGTACAATATCTTGACATCCAATTTAAAATAAAGTTGGAATACACTTTTTCTAACAATGTATTAATCAACTGGTGAGGTGGTGTTCAGAATAATATACAGTATTTGGTTTTGAACACAATCTTCAAATGGACTTGGATTGAAGAGCAACTGGGATGATACAATAAAAAAGTTTTTCTTTTTATGTAGCACCTTTCATCTTCAGACATCTCAAAGTACTTAAAAAGAATTTACTGTAAAACGCATCCATTTTATAGGTTAACACAGCAGCCAATTTGCCCACAGTAATGTTTTACACACAGCCATGGAATAAATGATCAATTTCAGCTGGGGATTGTTGGTCAGGACAACTTCCTTAGTGATAACTCAGGAAGAACAAGACTTTGGAATACTGAACTTTCCAAAGAGCATTTTATTAAAGGTTGTATTACATAGAATGAAGCAGCACAGAATTGAGGCCATTTAGCCCTACTAGTTTGGGCCAGTATGAGGAATTAAGCTGATGTAAGATCTGAATGCAGAGCTGTTGGATAAGTATCAGATTATTACAGTTTTAATGCCTTTTTAACCATTGACCTCTAAAAGAAAGATTTTCTTTGGAGGATGGAGACGAGCGTATGAACACTGGCACAAGACTGGTTTCCGTTCTGTACAGTGTATGTAAATATTGCAAGGACTGATATTGAGCTCTTGCAACTGACAATTTCATGAACAAAAATTACTGGTTGAGAAAATATAATTAGAAGATTATGTAGGTAATTATAACTTAAAGTTGTGCTTGGTTTCCCTTGGAAAAGGGAATGACTACTAAGCAAATGTTTGTTGGATAGAGTCCTCATTACAACCCTTTTTTATTTTTAGATAAATTAACTGGATAAATAACCTATTGTCCTTTTCTGAGTTCTGATTCAAGCTCATTAGATGTGTTGTGGATGCAGATGATCCTTCATATCCTGATTTCCATTTGCAAGCACAGTGAGCAAATGTGTGCTGTGTATTCCATTAGTGCACATTCTCAACAATCATGACTCGAAAGTCAAAGGGTGACTTTCACAAATACTGTCACGAAGCTGTTGTAGATTGATGAGATTCGCATCTATACAATAACTGGTATACATTTTGTCAAATGGACTGCAAACATCTAACTACATGTATAGGGAGGGAAGAGAGCAAAGCATTCTACAGTATTTTGATGTCTTTTTATTTGATTTATGATAACTGGAATAGCCTTAACATAAGTTGCTGAATTTCAGCTAATTCAAACTCCCATAACTGAGCAGGCTGTTGATGAACAGCAAAGGTGTGGAGCAGCAAGTCTGCCGAAGGCCATGAATGAAGTGAAACATTGCGTCAATGGTTTGAGAATTGCATTCTTGCTCACATCCTCCACACATGAGCTGCAGGTCAAATGGTAGTATAGTGAAATTCTTAATTCAAATGCCTCTTTATATAACCGGACTAAACATAAGAGGAGACTCGAGCTTGAGTGACGTGGCATCCAACCTTAACCAAACAGGATACACTCTTCCACCAAGCAGATGTGTCTTGACTCACATGTCAATTGACAATCGATTGGCAGCAATCTCTGGGGAGGGGGAGAAGGAATCCAATGTTTGTACTGTAGAAGGTAATGATTTAGGACTCTGGTCTTTCCAGACGCTGATTAATTGGTTTTATATGAATGGTCACAGAAAATTATTCAATAACCTCAATTATTTGTATGTACAATACTATATACTCTGAACTATTCAATTATCTGATATTCAATTAATTGAATTTCACTAGACTGCAGACACATTCTCGAAGACCTTTTCTGCCAATCTGTATGGAGCAATGTCACGAATGGTGTGAAATTTATCTTTTTTCCCCCAAAATATTGTAGAGATGTCTTAAGTGTTCCCTGTCTTCATCTCTACAGGCTGCCAAGACCCTCATACATGCATTCATCACATCCAGGCTCGACTACGCAAACTCCCTGCTTGTTGGCCTCCCCAACTCCTCCCTCCATAGGCTGCAGATCATCCAGAGTTCTGCAGCCCGCGTCATCTTCCGCACTAGGCTCTGCGACCCCCATCCTCTCCCGACTCCACTGGCTTCCCATCACACAGAGGATACAATTCAAGATCCTGGTCCTCACCTTCAAAGCTCTCCATGGCCTTGCTCCCCCCTTCCTCTGCAACCTTCTAACCCCACTACCATCCTGCCCATTCCCTCCACTCAGTGGGCTCCAGCCTGCTTCAAGTCCTCCGCCTCATTGGCAGGCAGGTCTTCTGCCACTCTGCCTCCCCTCTCTTGCCTCCTTCAAGACTTGTCTAGTAGTCAAGCCTGGAGTAGTTTGGGACATATGTGCATGCGACCGCCAGGAAGGTGGAAGGCGAACTAGGTGGATCTTGGACCTTTTTGGTCTAGTGTTTCTTGTGTTTTTAAAACCCTCCTTTGATCGTGTCTTCGGTCATCTTCCCCAATCCTGACCCCCAGCTCGGGTCCGAAACACTAATTGTCCAGCGCCTTGGGACATTCTCCTGACTTGAAAGGCACTATACAAATATAATTTTGTTGTTGAAATGTATTTAAGGCTTTTTCTATGTGAAAGGCTAATGAAGTGCAAGTACTTGTTGATTGCAGCATTGATGCTATAGTAAGGTTGCATTGGCTTTGGTACTTCATATGTCAACCTATTTGCATTTGATCATTGCAGCTGTCATGAGTGAACCTGATTCTCATCCTCTGAGAGGAAATGGTGTGTGTATTAGGAGGTTTTTTGCTCGAAGAGAAAATTAGATCAATAATGATGATGAATTCATTGCCAAAGGATCCTAAGATAGTTGGCAGAGCTTGGTGTAATTAGTGTTAAGACTATAAATGAGCAATTATGAGGAGGAAGTTCTAAATTGCCCTTGATTGATGACACAATATGTTTTATATTTATTCACCTTTACCATCGGGCGAATGTCTCAAAAGTGCAATACGAAGCAAGGTGAAGCATGTCAGCGGAGGAAGCACCCTGAACCCAGTGTCCTAGAGGACGATCTGAAGTAATATGTCATTTAAAAAAGAGAAAATGTTTTTCAAAATGTCCACAGACACCTAGAGCTCAAATTAAAACATGCTGGAAAAATATACAGTCAACTCACTTTACAGTATATTCTGTGAAGCGCTTTGAGACATCGCAAAGACGTGATAAGGTGCTATATCAAATGCAAGGATTATTATTATCAACAAGATGCAATACAAACTTGGAAAGATCACATACCTTTCTATTCTTCACCCCTCCCTCTCACACCAAGCAGATCTTATTCCCTATACTTGAATGTGCTCGAACATGGGATGAACATCTGAAAAGGCCCGGAAAAGCAGTGGACAGGACTGGGCCTTCAGAATTCAGCCACTGAAACTTGTCAAATTGGGAGTCTTCCTTCTGCAGATGAGTGAGTTGTTGCAAATAATCTGCAACTCCCCACACAGGGGGATTGAAATATCATCGGGACAAATTAAAGGAGATTCTGCTGACTTAATCCTGATATCAGCTTTTCTTTGATGTTTAGTGGAGAGGAGTCAGGAAAACTTCACTCTTCTATTTAAGCTGCTGCTCTAGATTTAGAGAATTCTAGGCATGCAAATTCTTAAACTGGACAAGAGACGGTGCAGGAGAAACAGCAACAAAATCACATTTGTAAAGCGCCTTTCACGTTGCGAGAACGTCCCAAGGTGCTGAAAAGTTGGGGATCAAGACCCAAACGTGGGGGGCAGGGTTGGGATGAGGGTATGCAACGAGGTAGGAGGACGGCTGAAGGCACAGTTGAAAAGGAGGGTTTTCAGTCATGCCTTGAAGGGGGCAAGGGAGGGAGCAAGGCAAAGGGATTGTGAAAGGATTCAAGAAATAGTGCAATATACATTAATGTAGTGCCATTTGTGTTGTGAGGACATTCCAAAGTGCATTCATAGTGCTGATGGGCAACCAAGCTAGGGTTGGGATCTGAGAAGGTGGTGGAGGGCAGGGGAAAGATGATTACAAATGCGTTTAGGGATGTATGTTTTAAGACATGCCTTGAAAGAGGGGAGGGAGGGAGCGAGTCAGAGGGACTCTGGGCTAGAGAAAACAGAGAGTGAGGGCAGAATAGCTGAAAGCCTGCCAGTAGATAGAGTGGAGGACGTGAAATAAGTAGGTTGTTT